TGTGCAGGTTGCGATCTGGAGGTGCGGCGTGATGGTTCTACCGTGCAAAGAAGATGATGAACATTGGCCATGGTGGGTTTCTATCGTAGGGGGAGATGGCGCGATTTAGGTCTGGTGGAGGCGCTGATGGCTAGCTCAAGGTTGGGTGAAACTCACGAGCAGATGAATTGAAGAGTTGTGGCGGTGATTTAGGTTTCGAAAGATTTTTTGAATTGGGGATTTCTCCGTTTGGGTTTCTACAGGTGTGTGCGAGAGAGTGCTCTTGCAATGGTCATGGTGGATGGCGGTCCTTGCAGCTCTACGGCGACCTGAAAAGTGTCTCATGGTGGAGATGGAAGTCGAGGAAGATGCTGAAGATGATGATGGAGGACTCGCGACTTTGGCTTTCGCGTTCTTTATTGGTGACGGTGGTGGCTACCGGCGGCGACGCTGGTGTTGGGTGATGGCGAGGTTGCTGCAAGACGGCAGGGTGGCTGACGGCGGCCTACGGTTGCCCATGGTGCTGGCGGCACAAGGAAGCTAGAGTTTGGGAATTAGGATTGTCACGCAGTCAGAGAAACTGTACACGTCATTAACTTTTGTCTAGAGTGGCAGCTGCACCGTTAAAAAATTAACGCCGTTACCAAAAAGGACTTAATTGCACATTTTTTTCATAAGTCACATTGAACTTCGAAAAAAACTTAGGACGCAATTGAACATTTGCCCCCTTTCGGAGACCAAAAAAGGTATTAAACCTAAAATTAAAATTGTTATTTAAAATTAAAAATAATAATAATTATTATTATTATAATTAAGCATGTTATACAGCTGTCATCTTCAACCGTCCATAAAGTCAACCTTTTCCTAGACCTGTACATCTATGGAAACCTCCGGCCTACACTTTTTTTCAGCTTCTTCATCTTTACCAACCTCTTTCATCACTTCTACATCCAGGCACCACATTCCACACCCACACGAGGATCATTTGGTAAATTTACTTTTCAACCCTTCAAATATTTTTATCTCAGTCAGGATGGATTAAAACCTCTCTCTCCCAAGTACACCCGCATATCTCCATAAACAAGGTTCATCCGCTCTCTCCCTTCATAACCTAACAAATCAAAAACAATATAAAGAAAATAATAATAATAATAAAAAAAATGATAACATGTATAATCCGTAAAAGAGTAAGTGATATAAAATTAAATAAGAACAAACTTGTTTTAGAAAAAAGAGTTTAAAGATAACCATCATGGATTCACAACAATAAGAAGAAAATGATTGAGAATATTCATCACCCATAAATTAAGAAATTTCATATAATTATGGTATAATATTTCATATAAAATTTTAATTAAATTTAATATTTATGTTTTTTTATATATGTCATTTAACCTTTTCATTTATATTTTCAGACTCTTAGCTTATTCTTAAATTTGTAATGTATGAAAGAATAAAAAAAATATTTTATAAATATTTATCATCTAAAGAATTAGGTTTATATGAATGGATTAATCTATACTTTAATAATTAGTATTATATATATAAATCTACTATAAATCATTTTGCGGACAAATTTCCTTAGTTTTTTAGTCATTTAATATTTCAAATTTTTTCTTTTTATTAAATTATAATATTGACATTTTTATTATGGAATACATATTTTAAATTTTAATATGTGAAATTTAAATTAATATTATATAATAAATAATTACACTAACTAGTCATATGTAAAATAAACAAAATAAAAACTAACAAAATTAATTGTCTTAAATTAATGGATTTATATGGTTATCGTAAGAGTTTAAAAGTATATATTATACATATATTTAATAGAAAAATATAACAATGAGACATATATCTATTCTAAATTGAAATAATAAGACATATATCTAGAATAAATTGAAATCAAAGACAATGACACTTAACACTAACATTAACACGTGAAAGTATCTTGTCACGTGTCACTAATAATTTCATGAGTTATATTTGAGCTTGACATGTGAGAATACAAATTTATACAAAAAAATAAAAAATTAAAAAAATAACAAATTTACACATGACACAAAATTAATACGATTAGTAATTTTATTTTTAGAATTGACACATTTTTTCAAAGTTTATGACAAACCTTTTTAAAAGGATGATCAACTTGAGACACTCCTACCAAAGTGGAGTAATTAAAACCTAATTCTATCTTTTTTATGATTTTTAATCACTTTGTCATTTATTAAAATTAAATTTTAAAAAATATATATTTTATTTTTATTTCTTAAAATAATATTATTTGAAAGTAATATATTTTTATTGATAACACAAATTGTTTATAATGTCATAATAATTTTGTCTTAAAAGAATTGTCTAACAAAAAATTACATTTATTTTTTTATATCAAATTATAATATAAATATTCTTATTGTTAAATATATTTTTATATTTATATTTGTAAAACATTAGTCAATGTCTTGATTAGATGAGTCTAGAAATAAACATTACATAAATTATTTATATATTGATTAAACGACTATAACAGTTACATAATACAAGTATTTCCACATACAAATTATACAAGTTTATTACTACACATTAGATAAATTTGTTCATTCACTTATTAGATAAATATTGTAATATATGTTAGACAAATTGATTCATAATGAATATAGTAAAAAACATTAAATTAGTATAACAATACACATTAGATAAATTTATTCATACACTAATTAGACGAGTCTAACCATATATGTTAGACAAGTTTCTTCATACACACATTAAACGAGTGTATTAATATATTACAATATTTTACCCATTATATGATTAAACGAGTCTTATAACATACATTGTACAAGTTTGTTCATATACTGATAAGACTAATCTAAAATTACACATTAAATGAGTAATCCATATATTGTTTAAACTAGTCTAACAATACATATTAAATTAGTTTATCAATGCACTTATTAAATTGTTCTAACAATACACATTACACTAGTATGTTCATACATTAATTATATTTTTAGTGAGCTTATTTTTGTACATATTTTTCACACATCATTTATATTTTTAAAGAGTCTGTTCTATATTTTTGCACATATTTTATCGTTTGTATTTTTGAAAATTCTATTATTTATATTTTCTTTATAGAGACATTGCTATAAATCATTTTTTGATTTTATAAATTTAAAAACATTTATTATTTTTTTCTTCAACATCTAAATCTCTTTTAATAAACACACAAACAAGTATTAACTCGTGACACAAGTTTAAAACTAATTATATAATTAAATAATTAAAGAAATATACAATTATAATGAAGATTGTTTTACAAGATATTTTAACATAAGTGAAATTAATATAAATATAATGTCTTAGTAGGTTAGATTAAAAATTACATATGAAAAAAACATATATTATTGATACATAATTATTTTAAAAAATTATATAGTAGTTTTAATTGTTAGATCTAAATTTGTTAAAAGTTATTTTAGATGAGATAAAAATATACAAACTAAGTCTATACTTCTGAGAATATATTTATATCTTGGGATAGATTGTAAGAAATAAAAAAAAAATCTTTTATATTAATTAATAAAAGGTCAGAAATTATTCTTCTAAAAACACATAGTAAACTGGTCATGAACTATTTTAGATCTGTTAATAATAACATTGCTAAATTATTTTTCAGAAAGAACGAATGTGAAAATGTTTTTTTTCTCATATTAAAGGAATTCACCAAGATAATTAAACCATGAAATGAAAAAATAATGCATTTTAAACGTTAACTTGATAGTTATAGATTTTTGTTTTAGAAAATAACTTTACCAAATTGAATTGAGCTGTATTTTTTTGCTCTATAGAAGAAATATAATTTGAAATAGTTGAATAAAAAAGAGTGTGTTAAAATATATAACTTAATCGAAATAAATTTATCTAAAGAAAAAACTAATTTAAGGATTAACACACTTTTATCTAGTCACACATTACAATTTTTGTCATAAATCTGGTGTCAGTTTTGTGAAGTACTAACTCTGAGTAAGATGAGATATTTGAGAAACGAGGAAAGTGGATGCTACTGGAATGTCTCTAAATATCTTATAAGGAAGGATGAAAAAATGGACAGTTGGATGTGTAGACAGCAGAAGTAGAGTGTACAGTTAGTGTGTGTGTGTGAATGTGGGAAGTGAAAGAAAAAGAAAGATTTTGAATTGGTAATGTGTAATGAGGAGTTATTGAAGGTATTAAGGGGAACGTAGCACGTTTAAGTGCCACAGATGCAACGCAGAAGACACCAAAAGTGGTGGAATCTGATTGGTCTCATAACACATCCAAAAGCCCACCTCTTTTTTCCTCCTACACGTGAATAACTGTGCACCAGCTTACCCATAAAAGGCAGGCCACGTAAGCCAGAAAATCTTGCACATCCAATCATATTTTGCCACGTCACCAGATAAGACCCTTTTTCCATATACCTTATATAAGCTTTTGCAGCAGGTAAGGTATGGAAACCGAATAATCCTGTACCTACACATCCACGTCTCTCTGTCACGGCCATACTTAGTAAGATTTTCATTACCCAATTACCATATTGCCCCACCTTCATGTAAAATTATCATCTCCAACAACAAACAAATCATGTATATTATTATTCTTCTAAAAAGACAACAAAAAGATATTGTTTAATAATATTCATGCGCTTTGCTAATTTCCAAAAAAATGTTTCATTTTAATGCATTTATTTATGAATTGTGAGAGCACAACAATGTGTTTAAAGGCAAATAATGGTAACAGTTAAGTAATGGCCGGCTCTATACCAAAAAAAAAGTTTTAGTTTTATATTGTATTAAGTTTTAAAATTTAGAATGAAAAATGATAATTGAGTGATGTTAAAAATGAAAAAGTGAGAAAAAGATATGAGGAAGAGGGGAGAGGGATATTATAGTAAAAGAACAGGGTAAAATAATTGAAGAGGTAAAAGAGAGAGAAGTAATAGGAGCTTAATATGAATGGTCCCCACAATAGGAACAACAGAGAAACTGAGCATTGTCTCTTCCTTCGTTGTTCTCGTCTTCATTGCTCGACCTCCTCCACTGCAAGTGTCAACACTCACACACACACACTCTCTCTCAGACTTCTTCCCCAACTTCTCTTTCTCTCTCTCCCACCAAGTGACACAGTGGGTGGGCTTATACCCCTGCCAATTGCATATACATACAGGACCCCAACGGTTCTTTGCCTTTTATCTGCTTCACCTCGTGACCCTCTGCCCTGTCTCATTTCTCTCTCTCTCTCATACTCTCTTACTGAATTTAACACCACTCACCTTTCTTACACTTCAATCCCTTGTTATTGGCCAGCTTTCCCTTATTCACACCAACAGTACTTCCTTTTCCTCATCCGACACCGAATTCGGCTCATCTTTTCGGGTTTTGGAATCGATCAATCAATGAATGCCCTGTTTCTACACTCCTGCTTTTCCTACCCTAGCGCAACCTTTTTCGCACACTTCCAACTATATTAGCAGTTCTCAGATTTTTATTTTATTTTTCCTCTCCTCTGTTATCACTATTTCTTCCACTCTAATATTCCCAAAACCTCTTGGCCTTTTCTTCATTTCCTTTTTATTTTAAATAAGGCAGGGGATTTTGTTGCTTGTACTTTTTGGGTTTAGGGTTTTGCGCCCCCTCTGAAAAAAACACACAAGCCTATGTTCCACTCCACGCCTCTTCAATTCTGAATATCATTGCATAAATTGTGCCACACACATACAAACAATGTCTTCGTGTTTGACCGGAGCTGGAGGAAGAACCTACGGATTCGATTTCGAATTTGTTAAATCTCCGTCTTCCTCGACCAGAACCTCACACACCTCTTCTTCGCCTTCTTCAACAATCTCCGAATCGAGCAATTCGGCTGCGCTCGCAATCTCCACCAAGAAACCCAGAACGCCGAGAAAGCGACCGAACCAAACCTACAATGAAGCAGCGGCACTTCTATCCACGGCCTACCCGAACCTCTTCTCTACAAAGAACCTCAAAACGCAGGGGAAATTCGCAAAGCCCGCATCGGAGAATTTCGATTTTGACTCTTCGGAGCTGTTTTTGCCGTTCAGGGTTTTGGACGGATCGTCTTCGTGTTTCCTTCTGGACCAACCGGGCCCCAAGCCCGTGGAGAGGCCCAAAGTGGTGAGCGTGCAGGAGAAGGCGTGTGGGAGCCCCGGGGAGATAAGCTCCGTAGTGAATTTCAATTACCTGGAATTGAACGACGATTGCGAAGAGAGCCTCGACGCGGAATCGATTCTCGACGAGGAAATTGAAGAAGGAATCGACAGCATCATGGGGAGCAGGGTCCAAGAAATCTCCAACGACGCCGTCAATAACTTTCCCTGGATAATGCCTTTTGGCGGGAAATCGGACTTCCCCAGACCCCGTGTCAGCGCTCTCCGACACGTCGACAACGGAAACTGGTGGAATTTTCCGGCCGTCGATATTCATCAGATATCTCCCAAAATTAACACCAAGCCTCCTCCGGTGACCGCCGAGAAGAAGATGAAGAAGAAGAAGGTGACGGCGATTGCGGCGGCCGAGAAACCGGCCGTGGTGGAGTTGAAGAACGCGGAATTGCCCAAACCGAAACAAGGTTTGATGTTGAAATTGAATTACGACGACGTTCGGGGCGCTTGGTCCGACCGTGGGACCCCGTTCGCGGACGATAGCCCCCTGGCCGACTTGCCGGAAACTGACGTCACTGTAAGTTCTACTAAGTAACAGTAGCTAATACTCTGTTGATTGCGAGGTTTACGAGGAAATAACAGCGTGTTTAGCAAGAAGCTTTATTTTAATCTAATCATTTTAAAATTTAAGCTAATAAAGTTTGGAGATTGACTCCACGGTTAGCCTTTTTAATCACGGACTATGGTAATCCAACTTTCTAAAACTGACATAGTAAAGGATTTCATGCATCTCTTGCTTCGTCCCTCTTTACTTTACTTTTCACGCTAATCTTTAAAAAATAAAGTTCTACTGCAATATTTAATGGATTTCAATTTCAATTTGGGTATGTTATACCGGAAAAAGGTTAAAAGTAAAAGCATCTTTTATGGTTTGGTACTACTACGATTTTCATCTATTATTATTATTATTATTATTATTATTATTATTATTAGTTTTAATTACATCTGTCTTGCATTATTAAAATCTGTGATGATGCCGGTAGCCGGTACATGTTATTGTGTGTGGCTTTACTTGAAAAACTTAAGTGCGAGGGTACATGGTAGGGGAGGGTGTGGTGCTGTAGTAGTGAATAATTAACGGAATTGTGTTTTGGGGGTTGTGGGGGACAGGCGCGGCTGTCGCAAATTGATTTGTGGTGGGACAATGGCGGAGTGAGAGAAGCTAGCGTGCAGCGCTACAAAGAGAAGCGGCGAACGCGACTGTTCTCGAAGAAGATCAGATACCAGGTGAGGAAGGTCAACGCAGATCGACGGCCCAGAATGAAGGTACGAGTGAGTTGAGGACAGTTGGAGAATTTTGATTTAAAAGAAAAGAGGAAATGTGGTTTATGATTTGGCGATGATAATTTTGGATAATGAGGTTTGTGCCTGCGTCACAGTTTATTTTTGTTATGGAGAGTGGACCCGGTTATGGTGGTTGGTCACTTTGTCCAACTTTTGAGGATCTATCTATTTCACCTTAGTTTGATACCCTCCGACTGCCAATGCCAATGTTTAGGTTTATATTCTTAATTTCACCAACAGCTCCTGACGCATGCATCTCCTCCACTTTTCATTCCTATCACAATATTCACTTTAGATTCTTTCATCATATTATATATCTCTCTCTCTCTCTCCTTATATAAATAAATAAAATATGTTTGGTCTACATTCTTGTATCGTATGAAAATTAACACATGTGTGTGTATATATATACATTCCTATGTCAACAGCAGATTTGGTCGGCCTTTATTTTTATTGGACACCATAATTCTACTGTGAAGATGGTTGGTTGAACAAGGTAGCCTAACTAGAACGAAAATTTCATACCAAAACCAGACTTAAAAAAGGAGAAGGGGACAATGGATGGTTTTCTTAAGAAATTAAATTATGGTTTCATTTATGTTTGACAGGCAGATGCATTTGAGATAGCAAGTCTAACTTGTTTGTGATGTGGCAGGGGCGATTTGTTAGGAGGCTCAATTCTAGCTCAAATGCACACAGATGATTTTGTATGTAGTAGCACGTAGCAGTAAAGAACAAGCTTTTTGGGACCCTTTGTTTAAAATCAATAAAAAAAAGTAAAAAAAAAAAAAGAAAGAAAGAAAAGGAAAGAGAGTTTATCTATATTTTTGTAACCTTTACTCTTTTAATCCCTTTAGTCCTTTTACTTTTGGGGTTCTTCATAGTTCCTGCATTGATGCTGTATGAAATAAGTAACGAAGTAGTCGAAACAAATTGCCTAAGATTCTATTACACATAAAATTCTCTTGGCGTTTCATATCCCATCCCTTTGTGGTCAAGAGTGGTTTCCGTTTAGGTAAAGCTAACAAATTTAAAAAGAAGAAACTTAACGGTGATTTTGTTATTCTTTTCAATCATAACTTTACAGATTTATTAATGTTAATGATGTGATTTGACATATGAAAGTAAAAGGAAATCACCTTGACCGTTGAGTTGGCTATCTATCCAAATATATATCATTTTTAATTTCAACACATTCATTATCAACTTTTCTGTGGGTGTTAAACCTTGTCAATTCATGCAATGTTGCTTTATTCCAGTACCTCATAATTAAGGATTGTAACCATCTACTATAATAGAATCATGGCCACAGCAAATTTTAACTTCTCGGTTCCTATTAAATGTCTCATCCTGAATTCAATATTTAAATTCCACTTTTCTTGTTTCTCTAATTTAATCTGGAGAGCATATATGAATGTGTTTCAAAATATGTTTTAATGAGTTTTTCCAAAAATAAAACTGAAAAAATATTCTAAATGTAAATTAAACATAGATTTTAAATAAATATGATTTTTTTTAACTAATTTTCACTTTATAAATAAATAATTACATTTTCTTTTCATCCTAAGAAATATTTACGGAAAAATTTGTTTAAACATTACTTAATAAGGATTAGTTCTTACACTACTCTAAGTTGCTTCCTGCACCACTACATTCTTGAATTTTTTTTTTAGTTTTTAGTTTTTTAATTTATTGTATTTTAAATTAATATATAAACTTTATTTATTTTTTTAAAATTATTACTTAATTATTTATAAATTAATTTTATTTTATTTAATAAAATAATTATTAATAATTTAATTTATATATTATTATTTAAATAATAATTAAAATATTTTTTATAAATTTATTAAAACGGATGTGGCAACATCCGTTGAAGTTTTTTTCTTAGTTTTTTAATTTGTTGTATTTTAAATTAATATATAAATATTATTTAATTTTTTTAAAATTATTACTTAATTATTTATAAATTAATTTTATTTTATTTAATAAAATAATTATTATTAATTTAATTTATTTATTATTATTTAAATAATAATTAAAATATTTTTTAAAAATTTATTAAAATGATGTGCAACGTTAACAGTGGCGACATCCTTTGAAGGTTTTTTTTTTTCTCTTTAGTTTTTTAATTTATTGTATTTTAAATTAATATATAAATATTATTTAATTTTTTTAAATTATTACTTAATTATTTTTAAATTAATATTATTTTATTTAATAAAATAATTATTATTTTTTTAATTTATGTATTATTATTTAAATAGTAATTAAAATATTTTTAAAAAATCTATTAAACAGATGTGTCACATCCGTTGAAGTTTTTATCTATTTTTAAATAAAAACAATAAAATAAAATATAAAATATATAAACGGACGTTCACGGATGTCAACGTCCGTTGAAGATGAAACACATGTTGACATTCATTTTATAGCAAAAACAAATTAGATATAAAGTGATGCAGAAAATATTTGATGATGGTGGAGGGAGCAACACTCATACTTAATCTTACTTTGGGTCAAATTGCATGTGTTATACCAAACCTTATTTCACAGTGATCCTACTATTTGAAGGTTGGCCATAGTTATTGAGTAAAGGCATCTCCAACTTAGAGGAAAAAAGAAGGAAAATTACGCTTTATTTCTGATTCCTTACCTGTTGGGAAACCCCCACTTCTTTAACTTCAATCTTCCTCTTCTTTCTTTGTTATAAATCTAACATGGCACTTTCATTTTGTATTGATTTAGCGAGATAAAATAAAAATATATTTTTGTACATAGAAAGAAATTTGTTATCATTAATTTAATCTCAATTAAAATAATCTATCGCAATTAATTTGATTTCTCCTTTTTTTATTTAATGATGTCTCCTTTTTTATACAATATAAGATTTTATATATTTTACCTTTTATTGATAAGATATTGGCAAGAGATGATAATGAGATAGGTGCAAATTTCACTTTCTCATTCTTATTTTTAAAATAAAAATTTAATTTAATTTTATACATAGACATACAACTTTTTGTCTCACTCTCGTTTGTATGTGATAACATGATATATTCATTTATGTCCTTGGTGGTATAAATAATAAAAAATAATTTTTACTAAAATAAGTATGATATAATAAATTATTCAATTTCACAATGATATAGACTTTTTTTTTCTATAATGTTAACTATTAAGAAATAAGTTATAATTAAATAAATAAAAAATAAAAAATAACAATTGAATAAAATTTTAATAATTATAAAAAAGAGTAAAAACGTCTTATAAACAAATTATAAAAATTATAAAATTAATGAACAAAAAACTTTAACATAAATATTTTAGGTTAGTATGTATAAAATAAAAAAGGGGAACATATATGTATGTACTTATTTCTTTCTCTCTCAATTTTAAAATTTTGATATTATTCTTACTCACATCTAATTAATATTATATGAATATTTTCAGTTAAAATAAAATAACTTTAATAAAAACAAATTCATTTGACATCTATATTTGACAATGACAATTAATAAATTTATTTTATTTTATTATTACGTTTAAATGTTTTTTTATCTTACACTATATGTTTCCACAATTATTTTTTTTATCTTACAATATTTATTTTAGTATTTCTAACATTATAGAAATTGATAAATGAGATATTTATTTATTCATTATGTTATAATATATTACTTACTTTAACCATTGCATGTTTTATTCCATTATTTTTATTATTATTACTGGAATATATCAAGATTAGTAAATTTGATAATAAATGTCTTAAGTGTAACAACACTGATATAATACACATGGAAAATATAATAATAAAAGTAAACCTTATACTAAAATAACTTGTTTGGTTGATAAAATAAATTTTAAATTTAAATAAAATACTATATATACGTATTCGATCCCATAAATATGTTAACGATCCCATAAATATGTTAAAGAGCTCAGTTCAATAAAACTTATTAAAATTCTTCATCTTAAAATAATCCAAAATATATCTATTAAAAAAATTTCACATATTTACATATTTATACCAATCTCGCCATGATTATTATTTACAATAAACTATTACTTTGTTATTATTATTTGTATAAGGTAAATATTATTTTTGTATTATAACATAAGTTTACGATTTATGTTAGTATTATAAATACAATTGGTATTCGTAGGTAATACTCACTCAATCTCATACACATTCTAACAGATTTACTCACATGTATCCAAACTCTCTTATTGACAAATTTCTTGGCTTCATGATAACTCCATAAGAGATGAAGGTTAACTCAAATAAGTGTAAAGTTATACATAGCATGAGAAGCCTAACCAACCTGAAAGAGGTCCAAAGTTTGAATGACAGACTAATCTCTTTAACTTGTTACTTGTCATGCTTAGCAGAGAAGACGAAACTCTTATTCAAGATCTTAGAAGGAGCTAAGACCTACAATCAGAGCGAAGAGTGTGAAACCATGTTTCAACAACTAAAGAGGGAAGTTGCAACACTCCATGTCCTTAAAAGTCTGTAGCCAAATGGCTTTGTACCTGACAGTGTCACACTTGATGATAAGCTCAATCCTCATAATGAAGAAATGGAAGAAGCAATAAATGATATATTTCAGAAGAGTGATACCACACTTTAATCTTTTTTTGTCCGATGACTACACCACTACTTCAACAACTTTAATTTCAGTTTTCATTAAGCAAATTTTGCATAAACCCAAGTTGGCAGAACGCATAACCACATAAACTACCATACACCATAATTATTGATAAAAGTCAAGAATTCATCGATGTCAACTTTGAACATCTCTTCAAGCAACTCAGCATAAAACATAGGCTCTCATCAATGGAGCACCTCCAATCAAATTGGTAGGTCAAAGCCACCAGCAAAGTCATCCTTACCAAGCTAAGAAAGAAGTTAGAAAAAAGCCAAGGGTCTTTAGGTCAAGGAGACACCAGCCATATTACAAGGTTACAATGCACCCTACAATCGTCAACAAATGAAACATCCTTTTGTTTAGCCTATGGCACTGAGGTCATGATACCAACATAACTCGACAAGGCTTCCTGAAGACTACAACACTTTGACGAAGAACACAATAAAGAAAACTTCTGAGGTAAGCTAGATATCATACATGAAGTTACTTCAATAGGTATAATTCATCAAAATCCCTTCAAGCAAGACACCAAATTATTCAACAAATAACATTCATCAAAAAACCCTCTAGATGATGCATCATGTTACTTCAACAAATAATGCTCATAAAAAGGCATCAAGTTTAACAAGTAACACTCATAAAAAATCCTTCAAGCCTGACACCAAGTTACTCCAACAAGTAACACCCATAAAAAGCCTTACAGAATAGACACTAAGTTATTTCAATAAGTAAAACTCACAAAAAAAACTCTCTACATAATACACCAAGTTACTTATATAAAAAGTCCTAAGACTTATATGTTATTATTTTGAAATTTTACAAATAATATTTTTGTAATTTTAGAAAATTATAAAATTCCATTATAGGTGAAGATGAAAAAAAATAATTATACCATTAAATATATGAGTGTGAATAAATGAGTTTTTTTTTTATATATTTTGAGTATGATATAAATAAAACTCACTCTTTGTCTTCCCTCTATCCAAAAGATTTCAATATTAAAATAATTTAAAAGAAAAAGATATAATTTTTTTCAAAAAAGATATACTCTTTTTTTCAAAAAAGATATATATATATATATATTTATTTTTTAATTAAGTTAATTATCTCAAAAATTAAAAAGTTTTATTAGTAAAAGCTTGGAAAATTTATTTTTAAAGAAAAAATAAAAAATAAAAAATAAAAAAGAAGAGAGAAAAAGAAGAAAAAAAAGGGATGAGGGTGAAACATTTTTGTTGCACAGTCAAGGTTCAAAAAGAGAAAACAGAAAAAATAGGTTTTATAACAAAAAGAAAGGAGAGAGCACAAGGAGATTCAATTGAGAAAGAAGGATGAGAGCCTCAGCATCCACAGTGGTTTTGTCTCTACTTTCCAAAGTTTACAGAACCAGCGAGTCGGACCGTGTGGTATGTTTGGTGTGATTCTGTTTTCTAGCATTTATTCATTCATGTATGCATGTTTTGTGAAATGTATGTTTTCTTTCATCTTTGTCCGGTAATTGTTGAACACCCAACAGTCCCATCAGACACCACATTGCCTCTTTCACAATCCCGTCTTTGTTATTCAATACCATACCTAACCAGATTTCTACTCTCCATCACGTATGCTGCGTGTTTCGGATGCGTAGGGATGCGTCGTCCAATCTTTATGTCCTCCTTCACTCGTCCGTCGTCTAGTTGATCTTTCGTACTTAATCTTCAATTTCTTCTTCGATCTGCGGGTGGGAGACCTGCCAAAGATTTTTCGATGTCAAAGTCACTTCAGGGAGCATTTTCTATCGAACAATAATAAATGCGTAGTAAATGCCAACCTTCCTTACCACTTACCTGGACCTGTATTTATAGTTTTCCCTATAGACTTGGATTAGTGAAAAATTAATCACGGCGCAAATTGAACCCAATAGCTCTTATCCTCAACTTACCTTAATCCTGGCTGATTAGTGGTATGACTGTCCGGTTTCCGAAGTTCATTACTGGGAACGGCCGGTCTTTGTGGGTGTCTTGGGTTACAAGCGGTATGTCCGGCCGGCAATGATAGTATGGCCGGGTGGTGAAGTAGTCCCTGTTTCCCTTGGACTGGCCGACCTTACGAGTGTCATTCGTAACAACATTATGACCGGCCAATCTTCATTTTATGGCCGGATGTTGAGGCATTTCCTGCACTCCCGGACGAAGGGGTCTCCGGTCCACGTGGGCGTTCGGTACCTACTGTTACACTGCGCCTTCACCATCTTTTCTAAATTTTTCATCTTCTCCAACACGCACCACAAAAACACAAAACTACGACACCCCCATCTCAACCCAGTCACAACACCATCATCTTCAATCTGCACAACACTTTCTACATAAACACCACCCATGCTCACCGCACCAAGATCAACACAAACCCAAACATCCCTAATCATTCTTCACGCACACAGTTTTACACATGAAAAAAAGGAGAATGGGGGCGCTAGTGATGATAACGTTGCCCACGCATCCTGTGACACCCACGATAGTTCCGGCGTTTACATCGTGTTGGACGGCGAAAACTTCGACGGTAACAGCGGGGCCGTGACGGTTCCGAGCGGCGCGGTGAGGTGGAGGCTCGATGGGGGCTGCGGATGCTGGAGTGTGGGGAGGAGAGAAAGGAGTCTTGGGTGTCGAGGAAGAGGGTTACCCCTTGATTAAGAAGAAATTAAGGCTGGATTAGTCATTGCCCTCACACACCTCTTTTACGGGATTGGGCCTGTAATATGTTTCAGCTTCTTGCACCTCTCTTTACTCATTTTGTTTTTGGACCTTTACATCGCGCACACCCGTGTTTACATGGTGCACCCCCAGCGCAATTACCACTACACTCATTTTCTCGCATACAACTCCATTTTTTAATTCTTCTCACTTTTCTTTTAGGACCTTTATCTTATATTTCTAACACTTGCTTCTTGATACTCCAATTCTTCACATACACTTTTTTTGTTTTCTTAAAAATTATATTATTAAAATTTAAAAAATACTTTTCAATTTTTTGTCTTTACTAGCTCACGTTACCCTCACTTTTCAAATAATTTTAAAATATCATAAGATTAAGAATGTAAAATTTTCAAAATTTAAAAATCAACATCTATTGTAAATGAAAATATTGTCGTATTTATCTTTTTAAAAAGTCATCTTTTGAAGAACTTTTCATATAAATTTTCATTTTAAATGGAAATATATAAGAGTAAGTAAGACTAATAACCCAACAATTAAAAAAAATAATTTTATTTATTTTGTATAGTTTCTGTTTTTTTTTTTAAGAAAAAAATAAGTTTTAAAAAATGACAACTTATTTAGTTAAAGAGTCTTTATAGATGGACGATGTAGGATATCAATATATTTGCTACACTACATGTAACCAACATTCAGACTAAAACTGTTTTATCTTACATAATATATATATATATATATATATATATTCTCTTTGTGCCGAATAGATACTTTACATCTAAGTCAGTAATCACTCGTTCTCCTCTGTCACAGTTGAGAGAGAAGGTGTGAAGTGAGTGACTAAGCGTTGTGCCTCTCTTTTCTTCTTCCCTCGAATCCCTGTTCTCTGCATTGGCTCATGATGACCTCTCCTGAGACCCTTTCGTTCATGGAGCTAGCCATACATCAGGTAATGCTTTGCGAACATTTTTACATGCACCATTCATTTCTGCAAGTATGCCTCCTGTGTAGGTAGGGTTGTTTTCTTTTCTGTAGGTGATAAACACCATTCATAATTTTTTCAGAAATTAACTGTATATTCAATAGTTGCTTATGTAGTTTCTTTGCTTATTAATCTTTATGACTCATCAAATTGGAAATGATGGTAGGCGGTGGAGTAATATTTATGTAGCTAGCTTTTTGTGGAACACAGTGTTTGTCTTCTTCATGACAGCAGTTGTTGCGTTCAAACTGACAATTTAAGCCATCTATCTCCCTGACTATGTTGATTATGCTATCCTTACATTCACCATGTAATCTATGCGGAAATGTATATTCTCGCCCTTTTTATTATTATTATTATTATTATTATTATTATTATTATTATTATTTATATGAAGGCGAGCCTTAACACAGCGGTAAGGTTGCATACAGTGACACTCCCTTGTACCTTTTCATAGCGAGGAGCCCTCTAGCATTGTGGAACACTAGTTTTGTCGTTGTTGTTATCATTATTACCATGGCATTAGATTTAACTGTTTTTATTTCTTTTAATTACTCTGGTTTATGTGACAGGCGAGGTTAGCTTTGGATGCTCTTGAAGTGCCTGTTGGGTAAGTTACCTTCACAATTTCATGTTACTTGAATATCATTGGAAGTGTAACTTGTAATTGATAAAGGTGTTGTTAGGATTGGAAAGTGTTAGGCAAGGGTGTTGACCGTCGTTCACATTCATCACTGGTGCTGTTTGATTGCATTAAGACAATGAAATCCATTCTATGGTAATAGGATATTTGGTTAGATAGTTGAAATCAGAAAATATTTTAGTTTTTTTCTCTAATGGCTCAGGAAGAAGAAGAGGGTGATACTGATTTTAATGTTGAAGATGACTGTCCTCCTTGGACGATAAATAAACATAGCTAAAGAAGTGCATAGGAGAGTGTGAGCTAAATGGGTGTCGGTGCTGTGATGACTGTATACGTGACAAAAGAGGGTGTAATAAGAAGTTTCTTAAACTTTTGATTGGATTTTGGAAATGTGAGAAGACTTGCATGACTCCTATTTAAAAGTCAAGGTTCTGATTAAACAGAAAGTTAATTATATGCATCAGTTTTTAAAGTCATTTCAAGTCAATACCAATGGGATTTAATGAATCAAAAACAGGTGTAATGACTCTCAACTGAAATTGTTAGGAGGAGTCTCATATTGAGTAGGACAAGCTACTTGATGTGATACTTAAGCTTTAAGGTTTTCCCATTAGTGAATTCGTCTTTTGGGTTGGATTGTCCTCTTGTACTTAAATCCTAGTAGTTGGTGTTTTTATTAAGAGTTGGATTATGAAAAGGGGTACCTACGGGTTGGAATAAGGTGCAAACTGAATACTGATAGGTGATTAAATCCCTTATAGGGAAAAAAGGTACCATCGGGTCCATGTTGATAGAATGAAGTCTTCGTGGACATCAGCCCTTAAAGGGGATGTAGTGTAAGGTGCCCACATCGAGTAGGCTAAACTATTTGATTTGATACGTAAACCTTTAGGTTCTCTCACTTAATGGACTACTAATCATTTCGATTGAACTCTCCTCTTGTGCTTTAAGTCCTAACTGGAAACATGCTACGGGATTGGTCAAATCAATCTGTTCTGAGCGGGAATGTTTGAATATCATTGATCTCTTATGCATTGTACCAAATCCAATCCGTTGGACTGCTTTTTGAATTTAGATATGAATGCCCATTTTCATTTGTCTTTTTATTTTGGAGAAAAAATAGGAAAAAAAAATTGAACTATTGGCATCGAACATTGGATTAGCATGTATAGTCAGAGATTAATTTATTTAGTAATAATGGCTTGTTGTTTTCTCCTTTAACATCATAGTAACCTTGAGAACATGGAGCATTTAACATTTTCTTGTAATTCCTGGTATGCTTCCTATCATTTGTTGAGTGTAAAATTGGCTGAAGTAAATCTTTGTTCATTAGTCATCTTGATTGTATTCTGCATTGAATCAATTGGAGAGATTATGTCTATCATTTCATTGGATCATTATTGTTTTGGTTTACTCTTTTTATGTAAACTGCGGTATTTGTTGGCAGATGTGTAATTGTTGAGGATGGCAAGGTAATAGCCACTGGCAGAAACCGAACTACTGAGACACGAAATGTAATTTGATCAATGATCTCTTTTTTGTTTTCATGCATATATTTTCGATCCTTTGGTTTATATTTATCTGTTCCTTTAATAATCTATTTGTTGTTTATAACTGTGGATTACTTTTGAATGTTATGCTTTTCTGCTGAAAACTTAATTAGATTTGGTTTCTGTAAGTTTATTTTTCTTAGATAGCAAGTGAAATTTTAAAATTGTATGGTTCTGAAAGTAGTGAAGAACTCTCATTTGTTATAGCATGACAAAAATGGGAGAGTTAAAATAAGTATTTACTGGGTATTCACTCAACTGTTGTGAATAGTAGCATGAGAACGAAAATTTATACAGAAAAGTGAGAAATATGAAGCTTGGCTCATGTGCATCTGTACATGAATGGCATAATTTCTGTGATTTTAATGCCCAATATTTATTTGCGTGAATGGAAATTTGTAGAGTATATTTATAACAATTGAACACGCTATTAACTTTATAGTTATAAAAAGCATGTACCTAGTGAGAACTGATTTGGCCCTCCTACTCTGGCCTTAAACACAATAAAATATTAATTTCTACTAAGCACACAGTGCACTCTTCAAGTGACAGAAAACATCCAAAATTTGATAATATGTGAGCTTATGCATTTGCTTCCAGTGATAATTTGTTCATATTTGCAATTTACGTGTCTTTTTGCAGTCTGCTACTAGTTTTATTGACTTGGGGGAGTGGTCGCACAACTTGTTAATATTTGTTTTCACTTNTTTAAAATATCATAAGATTAAGAATGTAAAATTTTCAAAATTTAAAAATCAACATCTATTGTAAATGAAAATATTGTCGTATTTATCTTTTTAAAAAGTCATCTTTTGAAGAACTTTTCATATAAATTTTCATTTTAAATGGAAATATATAAGAGTAAGTAAGACTAATAACCCAACAATTAAAAAAAATAATTTTATTTATTTTGTATAGTTTCTGTTTTTTTTTTTAAGAAAAAAATAAGTTTTAAAAAATGACAACTTATTTAGTTAAAGAGTCTTTATAGATGGACGATGTAGGATATCAATATATTTGCTACACTACATGTAACCAACATTCAGACTAAAACTGTTTTATCTTACATAATATATATATATATATATATATATATTCTCTTTGTGCCGAATAGATACTTTACATCTAAGTCAGTAATCACTCGTTCTCCTCTGTCACAGTTGAGAGAGAAGGTGTGAAGTGAGTGACTAAGCGTTGTGCCTCTCTTTTCTTCTTCCCTCGAATCCCTGTTCTCTGCATTGGCTCATGATGACCTCTCCTGAGACCCTTTCGTTCATGGAGCTAGCCATACATCAGGTAATGCTTTGCGAACATTTTTACATGCACCATTCATTTCTGCAAGTATGCCTCCTGTGTAGGTAGGGTTGTTTTCTTTTCTGTAGGTGATAAACACCATTCATAATTTTTTCAGAAATTAACTGTATATTCAATAGTTGCTTATGTAGTTTCTTTGCTTATTAATCTTTATGACTCATCAAATTGGAAATGATGGTAGGCGGTGGAGTAATATTTATGTAGCTAGCTTTTTGTGGAACACAGTGTTTGTCTTCTTCATGACAGCAGTTGTTGCGTTCAAACTGACAATTTAAGCCATCTATCTCCCTGACTATGTTGATTATGCTATCCTTACATTCACCATGTAATCTATGCGGAAATGTATATTCTCGCCCTTTTTATTATTATTATTATTATTATTATTATTATTATTATTATTATTATTATTTATATGAAGGCGAGCCTTAACACAGCGGTAAGGTTGCATACAGTGACACTCCCTTGTACCTTTTCATAGCGAGGAGCCCTCTAGCATTGTGGAACACTAGTTTTGTCGTTGTTGTTATCATTATTACCATGGCATTAGATTTAACTGTTTTTATTTCTTTTAATTACTCTGGTTTATGTGACAGGCGAGGTTAGCTTTGGATGCTCTTGAAGTGCCTGTTGGGTAAGTTACCTTCACAATTTCATGTTACTTGAATATCATTGGAAGTGTAACTTGTAATTGATAAAGGTGTTGTTAGGATTGGAAAGTGTTAGGCAAGGGTGTTGACCGTCGTTCACATTCATCACTGGTGCTGTTTGATTGCATTAAGACAATGAAATCCATTCTATGGTAATAGGATATTTGGTTAGATAGTTGAAATCAGAAAATATTTTAGTTTTTTTCTCTAATGGCTCAGGAAGAAGAAGAGGGTGATACTGATTTTAATGTTGAAGATGACTATCCTCCTTGAACCATAAATAAATATAGCTAAAGAAGTGCATAGGAGAGTGTGAGCTAAATGGGTGCCGGTGCTGTGATGACTGTATACGGGGCAAAAAAGGATGTAATAAGAAGTTGCTCAAACTTTTAATTGGATTTTGGAAATGTGAGAAGACTTGCATGACTCCTATTTAAAAGTCAAGGTTCTGATTAAACAGAAAGTTAATTATATGCATCAGTTTTTAAAGTCATTTCAAGTCAATACCAATGGGATTTAATGAATCAAAAACAGGTGTAATGACTCTCAACTGAAATTGTTAGGAGGAGTCTCATATTGAGTAGGACAAGCTACTTGATGTGATACTTAAGCTTTAAGGTTTTCCCATTAGTGAATTCGTCTTTTGGGTTGGATTGTCCTCTTGTACTTAAATCCTAGTAGTTGGTGTTTTTATTAAGAGTTGGATTATGAAAAGGGGTACCTACGGGTTGGAATAAGGTGCAAACTGAATACTGATAGGTGATTAAATCCCTTATAGGGAAAAAAGGTACCATCGGGTCCATGTTGATAGAATGAAGTCTTCGTGGACATCAGCCCTTAAAGGGGATGTAGTGTAAGGTGCCCACATCGAGTAGGCTAAACTATTTGATTTGATACGTAAACCTTTAGGTTCTCTCACTTAATGGACTACTAATCATTTCGATTGAACTCTCCTCTTGTGCTTTAAGTCCTAACTGGAAACATGCTACGGGATTGGTCAAATCAATCTGTTCTGAGCGGGAATGTTTGAATATCATTGATCTCTTATGCATTGTACCAAATCCAATCCGTTGGACTGCTTTTTGAATTTAGATATGAATGCCCATTTTCATTTGTCTTTTTATTTTGGAGAAAAAATAGGAAAAAAAAATTGAACTATTGGCATCGAACATTGGATTAGCATGTATAGTCAGAGATTAATTTATTTAGTAATAATGGCTTGTTGTTTTCTCCTTTAACATCATAGTAACCTTGAGAACATGGAGCATTTAACATTTTCTTGTAATTCCTGGTATGCTTCCTATCATTTGTTGAGTGTAAAATTGGCTGAAGTAAATCTTTGTTCATTAGTCATCTTGATTGTATTCTGCATTGAATCAATTGGAGAGATTATGTCTATCATTTCATTGGATCATTATTGTTTTGGTTTACTCTTTTTATGTAAACTGCGGTATTTGTTGGCAGATGTGTAATTGTTGAGGATGGCAAGGTAATAGCCACTGGCAGAAACCGAACTACTGAGACACGAAATGTAATTTGATCAATGATCTCTTTTTTGTTTTCATGCATATATTTTCGATCCTTTGGTTTATATTTATCTGTTCCTTTAATAATCTATTTGTTGTTTATAACTGTGGATTACTTTTGAATGTTATGCTTTTCTGCTGAAAACTTAATTAGATTTGGTTTCTGTAAGTTTATTTTTCTTAGATAGCAAGTGAAATTTTAAAATTGTATGGTTCTGAAAGTAGTGAAGAACTCTCATTTGTTATAGCATGACAAAAATGGGAGAGTTAAAATAAGTATTTACTGGGTATTCACTCAACTGTTGTGAATAGTAGCATGAGAACGAAAATTTATACAGAAAAGTGAGAAATATGAAGCTTGGCTCATGTGCATCTGTACATGAATGGCATAATTTCTGTGATTTTAATGCCCAATATTTATTTGCGTGAATGGAAATTTGTAGAGTATATTTATAACAATTGAACACGCTATTAACTTTATAGTTATAAAAAGCATGTACCTAGTGAGAACTGATTTGGCCCTCCTACTCTGGCCTTAAACACAATAAAATATTAATTTCTACTAAGCACACAGTGCACTCTTCAAGTGACAGAAAACATCCAAAATTTGATAATATGTGAGCTTATGCATTTGCTTCCAGTGATAATTTGTTCATATTTGCAATTTACGTGTCTTTTTGCAGTCTGCTACTAGTTTTATTGACTTGGGGGAGTGGTCGCACAACTTGTTAATATTTGTTTTCACTTAGTCCTTCATGGCCCCCTTACCCATATGTGATTCTTAGTTAAGTACTTCTATTTTTAGTCATAAAGAAAAAATATTTGATTGTTTCTTGTCAATTTTTTGTTATCAATCAAATAATGGTAAACAAAAAGCTTTCATTTTTTCCTACACAAGTTATTAACAATTATTTCAAGTTTCTCACCAAAAGCTTTATGCAATTCTTTATTCATACTTTTCTTTGGGTGTTCTTCATTACTATAATCGTTTTATCATTCATGCATTTGTTATTATCAGGCTACAAGGCATGCAGAAATGGAAGCTATAGACGTGCTTCTTGGGCAGTGGCAGAAAAATGGACATTCAATGTCTGAAGTTGCTGAAAAATTCTCAAACTGCAGTCTTTATGTTACCTGTGAACCGTGCATAATGTGCGCATCTGCTTTATCAATTTTAGGTATGCTTCTGCTAGTCTTGAGTTGAACAATCCATTACAGTTGCACTCTTTATTTTGTCATTTCTAATTCATTGGTTTGTGTATTATTTCAGGTATAAAGGAGGTATTTTATGGCTGTTCAAATGATAAATTTGGAGGCTGTGGATCGATACTGTCCTTGCATTCAAGTAACACCACACCAGTCAATAAGTATGTCTCTTAATTCAGCACCATCTACGCAAGCCTTGTCTCGATCTATTCTATCATTACTATTACTATTATTATAATTATTCATTATTATTTTGTAGGTGCATGTCATTTACTGTTATTATTTTTACTTTGTCAGGAAAATTATTAATTGTTGTTTATTGTCTATCTTTCTTACATCTGTCTGCTACATCCACTAACGTATGTAAACAAATAATTCTTATTTTTCTTATAAACAGTGAAGTTCCATCAGGAAAGAATTTCAAATGTACTGGAGGTATAATGGCATCAGAAGCTGTCCTTCTCTTTCGAACATTCTATGAGCAAGGAAATCCGAATGGCAAGTTACTTTGGTCCTTTCTCACTAGCACACAAAACCTTCTAAAGCCTTATATTATTGTTGATATGTGGTTCATATAGCCCATGTTAATAAATAATACTTATGCTCTTTCTATTTCTTCTCAGCTCCAAAGCCACACAGGCCTTTAGCACGTCAGACATGAAGTGTAATCTGTATATCACCAGGTTGGTTTCCGTCATTTCTGTGTACAAGGTTTTTGGTTATGTAAAGCTGAAAGTTGTTTGTTACTAATCCATTGGTTTGAATTTCTATTTTCTCTTCTAATATTTGTTACAGTTGCTGATATAGTATCTGTTATGAACTGGGAATCAGCTCTACCAATTACTAGAAAGATGAATCACATTTTGTCATTCTAACTTATTCTTACTGGAGGTTCAAACTAGTTGCAAAATGGAATTGAAGCTATTCATTTTTGTTAAATATTTTTTAGTTTCTGGAAGGTGCAGTGAGTTTCCTTTTTATTGTACACGATATTCGTAGTTATGGTCTAATTGATAAAGGAGATCGAATAGCATAGTAAGAATTACTATTTAAACTTTCTTTTGGGGGATGGGCTCATTCAGCCTATAATATTAAGAGTATACATATATTATTTATCTACCTTACAATTTAACAGTTCTACACAGTAAATATGTACTCCATTATTGTCTTGCTATTGTTTTAGAGTGAAGTTTCTTACATGAATGTAATTGGTATTTTAACAAGAGATTTAATTTTACTTTTAGTTTCAATAAGATTTTTTGGTTATCCGACCAGACTTCATTTATTTCGTGGTTAAGCTAGATTAGTTCGACTCTAAAGACACTGGTAACCGGAAGATATTTTTCCATCTGAAATTATCTTTCACAACATCCAATCCATAAAATATTAAAAATAAGAAGATATACGGATTTTTATTATATTTGAAAAGAGGGGTAATTTAGAGAATACCTCTTTTTTGTGAGAGTACAAGAAAACAAACAGGGAGGGTACAAGAAGAAGTACCCTTAATAATGAATTAGAGTAGCACGTTGATAGATAAGCCTGTTTATAGTTTTGTACCTTCTATTTTTCTTGTCTTAAATAATATTTTATTTTGGTTTTTAATTCAAATTTTATGGTTTATGTTGCTTATTGGCATTTTAAAAGTAATTAGTGTTCATTAAGTCACTGCATCAGCAGGACTCGTGTGTATTCTTTTAATTACGTTTTTTAAATAAAAAAGAATAAATCAACGTGATGAATATAATGTTGTTTTACTTATAAGGATTTGTATTTCTTACTTTTTTTTTTCAGTATTCTCTATTTAAAGGTGAAATTCAAAGAAGATAAAAATCAATATGTATATGTTTTTTGTTATTCTCTATCTTTTTTTGGTCACACTATTAAAAAGAAAAAAAAAACAGAAAAAGAGGTTGCAAATCTTAATGGAAAAAGTATTTTCTATATCACATTGATTTATTTATTTTTCCTTTAAATAAAATAATTTTTAAACAAATATGTTTAGTCCTACTCAACACTAACACGGTATTTAATTAATTAACAAGGGTAGTCATTTTAAAGATTTCAATAAACAATAAAATCTTAAATAAAGATAAAAGTTTTGAGAGAGATAAAATGAAAAAAAAAATAATATATATTGAACACGATGCTTACCAACAAGGTTTATTAAAGTTTTTCATTTTGAAACAGTGATAAATATTTAATATAAGTTAATTTTGATATAATTTGAGATTTATATTGTTTTGATTATGTTAAACATAGGTAAAAATTACCATAATTTGACTTGTTTTTGTGAGTTTTAATGATTACATAAAATAAAAAGAAAATGGAGAAAATCCAAACAATTCCGAACAAACTTAATTTTAGTATGATTGAGAAGCAATCTTGAGATTTGAGTCATATGAATAAATTCACAGTTGAGAAAAACTTCAAGCATTGGACCTAAGGCTAAGCTATGAATACTCTTTTTCTAAGAAGTTATCTTAAGGGCTAACATAAAAAACATGTTATAAAGTCTTGACCTTAACGTAAGTGATCAATTCAAACAGTCATTGAAGAATCATACTAAAATCTGGTGATCTTAGGCTTTAGGTGTCAGGAATGGACTTAAAATTATTTTAAAGAGAACTCTAAAGATATGATTAATTGCGTCTTTATAAATAATAACTGAATCTTTACAAGATAGGGATAAAGTGCTAAAATTTAACTTCTACATGCCTTTTTAATTTAAAATTGTTTCATAACATGTTAATTTGTAGAACTGACCTTACCTTCTTAAATCAAATATGTTTCCACATCTTTTGGTGCATCGTTTTACTATTTTATTCAAAGTCAAGCTAGTTTATGATGTTTTGTTTTATGCCAAACCCCCGTGTATATGACACTTCTTGTACAACAAATTACCTAGTATACTTGCTAGAAAAATTGATTGCTTTAGAGCATCAAATAAATAGTTTGTCCATGTTAATCCTATAAATACAAGTAGTAACAAATATCATCGTTATGATCAATCTGTTGCAAATTCAAGTGTGAGTCCAAGTCCCACATTGGATAGAAATAATAAAGTAGAGTATTCTATTAAGGTGAAAGATCTATTAACTCATTGCCTTAAGGTTTTGGATAAAGAATGATGTCAATCATTTATATGGTTGAGCTCATATCTCATTGGTATTGTGTCTCTTCAGTAAACCCCTTCCTCGATACACTCAACACAATCGTTGGAGCTTCATCACAATTTTGTCCTTAAAAAACGTCTTAGAAAGTGAAAGGAGTACTTAAACTATCTTAGATATTGACTCTTAAGTGACGTGGAACTATTGACAGTGGTAAGAACATAAGTTTCCTAGCTAAAGTCTAAGAGGAATTATTGATCATTGTTTTTAAACTATGTGAAACTATTAAATGTAGTAAAAACAAAGACAAAAACTAATATGAACATATTTATTAGATTTATCATCTACAAAAGTAAAATAAAAAATGTTTTCGTTTTCCTCACTGACAAACATATAAGTTATAGAACAATACACGGTAGGAACTAAAGAAAAATAAAAAGTGATTGAAAATTGAAATAAAAAATTTTAATTAAAATATTGGATAGTTTTTTTTTCTAATTATTTACTTTTTAAATATATTTTTAGTTTATAAATTTGGACAAAAAAATAAGATTTATCTTTATTTTAAATTTTGATAGAGTTTGATTATCAATGTTTGAAAATAGATAAATATAGCCATTTCTATGTAGAACTATTTTTACATCTTAAACTACAGTTCAAATTAAGTTTAAACTATTTACATCATTTAAAATAACTTGAAACACCCTCTAAATAAGAAAATTAATATTATTGAATTGAAAATAATATATATTCATTTTTAAAATTTAAAAACCAAAATGTAATAGAATTAATGTTGTTGGATTAAAAATAATATATATTATTTTTAAAATTTAAAAACAAAAATGTATTAAAATTTAGAAAAGAAAATAATTTCATGACCAAATTTAAGAAATCAAAATAAATTTAAGCCCAAAGAAAGAGTGGATATAGGAAGCATGAGTTAGCCATTCATTAAATGAAATAGCTAGTAGAAGCTTAACTTACCCATACTTTTGTTCTTTTGTGCGTGTTAAATTTCTCATTATCTATTCCCAATATCTTTTGTTTTAGTAAAAAAAAGAAAAGAAAAGTAGTAAAGATTAAACTGGTTTGAATTAACATTATGTTTATTTTAAAGAAAAGAAAAGTAGGCGCACAACAAAAGGTGATAAAGATTGAGTATTGTGTTTGATGACATGTGAAGAAGCTCAACGATAAATTTACCAAATAAATAAATAAAATAATAAATTCACACTGTTGATGATAAGGAAAAGAAAATTGATATTTGTCCTTCATGATATGTAAAGAAAGTCAACTACAAACTTTAAAAAATAATCTATTTATAAAATGACCAAATTATCTTTATTATTATAAATTAATTTTAATTAAACATAAACTTATCATTATTATTTTATCAATTTTTATATTATTCCTATTTTTAATTTTATTATTAATAATATTTTTTTTATTTTTTATTTTTTATTACTGTTATTAATAATATTTTTATAATTAGTTTATGATATTAGTATTATTATCAATATTTCTATTATTATTTTATAATTAGTTTATGATATTAGTATTATTGTCAATATTTCTATTATTATTTTATAATTTTATTATTATTATTACTACCACTACTTTTTTAAATTTTATTATTGCAATTATTTATAATTTTATTATTATTTTAATAACTTTATTTTTATTATTTTATTATTTTACATAAAATCGTTAAGTTAATTTTTTTTGTTCTTCTTATTGGTTTGAAATATTCAATTAAGTTATCGTATTATTTTAATTTTGTTTGGTTTTTATATGCCATGTATTAATTTATTAGTATTACGTGCTAACGTTGATGTCACACAAAATAAATTAATAAATAAGCTTAATTATAATTTATATATATCTATGTTAAAACGATTTTTTAAAATTTATACATCAAATCATTTCAGTTAAATATTCAAATTAATTTTATTTTTTATATTTAATTTCAATAAAAAAACACCTATTTTAAAAACATAAATATAAAATGACACATAATTTTTATTTAATATATTTTATATCTTTATAGCTTATTTAAAAATTACAACATACATTTGCATAGTAGATTGAAGGATAATATGCGTTATCTTACAACTTTCATGTTTACTTTCTTCTTCTTTCTTTTCACTAACAACAGGATGCAAAAAACAACTTTCTTAATAAATCTGCTTTTGCATTCAATCGAAGATACAAGACGTAATATATATTTTTTTTTCACGTTTTGGTTCCTACACCGAATGCCCGACACGTACAATGTTATTGAAAAACAACCTCTGTGTAGGCCTTTACAGTGATGTTTGCAATGCATATGATTGAACATGAGATGTCTGGTTTTGTATGTAAAGAATAAGAATATTTGGCTTCAGGTATCATCACTAATATTAGGGACGTGAAAAAGAATTGGTATGGTGAGGAAACTGGTATTAATTAATATGGTTAACTTGGAAGCAATACAAGGAGAAAGGAATTAACTGCTTTCATAAATTTTCCAATAAAAGTTATCATTCAGTTTTTTCCCTTAACACAGCTGTGGGTACATATACAATGGATGCTTCATTACAATGGGCTTCATCTGAACCCTTTGCATCCAACCTTTGAATTCTTGTTAATTTTTGCTTCATACTAATTAGTTTTTGCTTCAATTTGCACAATCTTTCGAATTCCAACTCTGCCGTCTGAGAATCTCCTGCAAATGTAAAATTTACCAACCTCTTCTTTTTTTTCTTCAATAGTTTCTTCAAGCTCACATCATCACTCATCTCCATTGAGTCCTGAAGGGGAAAAAGCAGTGAAAACTTGTTATAGAATTACCAGTGCATCCTTTCTTCAAGTAATCGTAAGAAAAAAAAAATGCTCTATTTGAAACTCTGATTTGCCTGGTTTATGGATGTGTTACCACTTCTCAAACATACAATGCTTTAAAACATGAAACTATTAGAAAAGCACCTTGTTGCCATTTTCTCCAGGAGGTGGAGGAATTTCTGGTTGTCTTTTCTTGCTAGAAAACTTAATTTTCTTTCTTCCACTGACATTTTTAACATCCTTCTGGGAATGACTTGTAGTAATTTTCAAGGTCTTTGGTTTCAAAAGATCAGTTTTCTCCTGATTTTGTAATATGGAGTTCTTTGTGGAAGTGATTCCCTTATGTTGATTTGCTGCTCCTTCTGCTTGATGCTGAACAAAATCCAATCACATTAGAGTTCATTGCAAATTCCAAAGGACTACAAAATTTGACTGTCTGACACAAAAGGAAGTCCTAAATCTACAAAAAAAAATGCTAAGACTACTCTCTTGGTCTTCTCATTAAGACAAGAATTTTCATCATATGATTTCCTAGAATTCTCTCTGTTTTCAGTCATTGAGTAATCCTATTATATGATTTTAATTATACTAATCTAAAATTACAAAGCTTGACATTTGTTCAAAATCAATTTCATAAGCAAAAGAAATGAAATGTAAACACTACCGTAAAGATTGTGAGAGTTATAAAAAGAGCTACTAGTGCAAGAATTGTTTATAACAAAAGGAAGACAAAATAGACTTGCATTGATTGAACAATGAGATATTAAAGTGTGTCTTACCTTTCTACTTTTAAGCGCCAAGTAACGTGCATTTTTGAACCATTTGCTGACCTGCATTTTCTAGCACAAGTTAGTAGCAGAAAGTTTGAACAAATAAAGTGTTTATAGGCATGCAAACAGAGTGGAACTAATTGGAATAACCACAGGGGATCAAGAAATTGTGCATCAAGAGAAAAAACTTCAAAAGCAAATTCGAATGGAAGATAGATATAAAGTAAGTCGGCACCTTCTCAGTGTCAAGTCCTAGCTCTTTTGAAAGATCCTCTCTAATAGATCTTGGAGGAAGTTCATTCACAGCAAAAACTTGGCGAAGCTTCTGGCTCATTTCATAATAAGATGAAAGGGGAAAAAATTAAAGCACATATAACCCTTTTATAAATAAATTGACCAAGTGTTTCTGCTAGTACCTCAACTGAATCACGTGGAATCCTAAAACAATGCCTTCTGATATTTGTGCCTGAAGAAATTATTTTTGTCATGTTGTTGTGCTCATTATTGGGGTGCATATTCTCACTTTCATGCAACGTCATAAGAGAATCAACAGCATCACACTCCTTTTCTCTTCGCTTTCTTTTGCCAGGACCCCAGTCTTCATCTTCACTCAATTGTTCATATGCAGGAGCTTCCTTCCCAAACATTTCCTGAGAAAAAAGAACTCAGATGAAACTTCTTTTCCATTATAGGACAGCAAACAAATCAGGGACAACTTCATATACTTACATCATAAAGCTTCTTGTAGTCAACAGCTTTTCGCTGCCTACGCCCACAGGCTTTGTCCTCAGACTCATCAGAATCTATGCTGGTATTGGCAAAAAGATATTCATGACTGACACCATGTACTGGAGAATGTTCATCATCAGAATAACACAGACTGGTAGAACTGCTTAAATCATCAGACGCACTATCATTAGTTCCTTCCATGTTGATATTGTGGCTGTCTTCTTTCCTCTCTGGGTCATAATCATCATCTTCAGAATCATCTGACGGCCATTCTTCTACAGGATTCAGTAATGTAGTCTCACCATCAGGGATAGCAGCCTCTTCTTTGAATACATCCTTTAATTATGCCAGAAAGGAATTATTAGGTGAACCAGTAGGAATATATGGATTTGGATTCCTTAAAGTGACGAGTACTTTTTAAGAGGAAAGTCTAACAAACAGCAATGAAAGAAAAAATTTAAGGGATTACATTTTCGTCTGGTATGTACATAAAATTCTAAATTGATTATATATGTAGAGAGAGATGAAAACAGAAAAATAAATGGTGTTAAGAGATTATAAGATTAAAAACCTGCCAAGCACTGTGCAAGGAGAAGTGAGTTCCAAGATGAGCATTCATAGCTTCCAGTATTTCCATCTTGCATTCACAAAAATTACAAAACCAGTCCTGCCCTCCAGGAGGAACTGTAATATATAATTAAACAAATGATTTATTTCATGAAATCAAAACAGAGGAAGTTGCAACCAAAAGAACAACTTGTTATCATATAATGGAACTTACCATTTTCAGTGTCTAAAGAAGGGTCCACACATTTTTGGTGAAACGCACGCTTGCATGTACCATAGCATCGTATAACATCATTATGTGGAGGTTCTTCACGCATTTTGCACTTAGCACAGAATATCTAGATTGAGAAAAATAGAAGACTGAATATAAAGTTTTTAAAATGTGCCTTGTCATTCCATACATGATACACGATACAACTTGACTTCAGAAAAGGCATGAGAGATGGCTCAACGTTAGCAAAATAAGAGAAGGTATGAAGCTGGTTCACAAGTATTAAATGGAAAGAATAGAGAATCATTTAATGCAATGAAGTGTTGATACTTGCTCACATGTTCCTGACAACCAGATCCACCTGGAGCAATTGCCGAATCTTCAATGCAACTCAATGAACCAAGGGAATCCAATTGGCGAATGGCATCACGAATACCAAGTCTACATTTTAAAATTTGCTTCCTTGCTCGTTGTAGCTCCTTTTCTGGCCTAATCTTTTCTCGACTGTTAAAGGAGTTTCCATCAGTTCAAGAAATGGAATAATGATAAGCCACACTGCTATTTGTCAAGGGCTAGCGTTGATGAAAATAGCTAATAATTGTTTTCAGATTAAGATCGCACTGCATTGCCATAAGCTGTTGACCAAGACGAATGTTTGGAGACACCAATCCATTCTGGTTTATAATCAACGGTACAGCATAATCATACTAAATTTTTCATGCAAAACATAAATTCAGCTTAAGTGGGTACGTGAAAACTCCAGCTATCACCAAATTCAATGGAAGTGTAACTCAATAAACCAGTCATTTATCTATTTACATTTCCCTTGAATAATTTAATCTCCTAAATATTTCAAGTGACATAGAGCATGCACCTCTAAGAATAACAGTAACAAAAATCAATTAAAAGGAACACCTCCTAACTAAATCAATTAAAAGGTAAAATATGCTTGTTATTCACCCAACCTTTTGCAACAAAAAGAAAGCTATAGGAAAACTTATACCATACCTCTGACCTTTCCAACCTTCTCCAGAGTAAGCATCGATAAGGTTCTGCTCTAGCTTCATTTTGATTAAAAGATACCGTGCTCTCCTCTGCAGGCGTGAAGGATCATCAAGATCCAAGTTATTCCTTTGTCTTTTCTTTGTTCTCTTTCTCTTCATTTTTTGAAGCTTTACCTCCCCATCAGCATCTTTCCCCTCTTTTCTAGAGCTAAGAGAAGCTTTTTTGCCTGGTAACTTTGAGGATGGCTTCTGTGAAGATTTTCTGTTCTTCAAAGGCAATTTCTGTCCAGTAGTCAATTTCTTATCTGAAGAATCCTTACGAGGTCCTTTGATCTTGAGGGAAGAGATAACTCTCTTCTTTGATACGTCAGTGCCAACATTTTTTGTGTGAGATTTTGATTCCACTTTCACTTTATCCTTCTTCCCTTTTGTACGTGCCTTCAAATGACCAGATTTTTTAGATCCTTTGTCGTTTGACTTCTTCACACTGTCCCGCATATTGATATGTTAAATCCTGAAATTTCAGCACAAAACATGAATCTTGCGAAAACAAAGACAACGATTTCACAGAAATTGGTCTTGTTAATGCATACTAAGTTGCTCGCTATCCATTGATCAAGTTAAAAAATGAGCATTACAATTGATCAAATTCTTGAATCAAAGCAGGATGGAACAAGGCCAAACATTATATGAAACGGGCAAAAACAGTGGAGCATTAGATGAGTATGAGTATTACTCGTCGAGAGAACATTGAATCATGAATTACTTGACTAGTTCAGCAAAATAAAGAAAGTCAATATACGATGTTTGAGACATGATTGTTAGAATCACAAATAAGTCATCGTTAGTTATTCAAATCGAGAGAAAAAAAGCACTTGTGATAAGCAGAAGAACACACGAAATACCCCAAGTACTCAAAACGGCCAATACACCACGAGCCTCAAGACCTTGACTTTGAATCCAAATGTCTAACCCCACAAGAGTTTGAAGCAAAAGAAACAAAACCAACCTGTGAAGGAAGAGGAATATAGTGAAAGATCAGAACTTTGTAAGGCCCTGAAAGGGTGTGAACATGGTGACAGTGCAGGAGTTGCAGGGATTGAATGGGTGGAGTTTAATTGAGAGATTGGTTTGAATTTGAAATTGGGTCTCAGATTCCCAATGTTGATTGATGAAACCAGTCGCCGTCAATAGCTACCCCAAGCGCCACAACGGTTAGCTTCTTGTTATGTTGCCATTCCCATTCATTATATGAATCTCTCTGTCTCTCTTTCTTTCTCTTTTCTCTCTTTGCGTGTGGTTTTATTTCACAAGTAATTGTGGCAGAATCTGAAACGAGGAACAAAATAATATTGATATAGTCTTCAGAAAAAAAAAATCAGATTCTGTGGTGAATCATAGGCATTGTTGCCTTTTGTGTGTAGCCAATGTGTCTCAACTCGTCAATGAACAAAGGAAGCAAAAGTGCTTGGTTATATGCAATGAGAGCATGAATCTTTTTGTGATCTCCTGATAGATTTAGTTTAGCAGAAAGAAATTACTGATTTAATTTACTGTCAGACTATGTTTGCATCAATCAAATTGGTACATAATAATGTTACCGAAATTAAAATGGAAGTAGGCAACAGCAATTTCGATTTTATTTATGTTTTTTGAATAATGTTTTTATTTCATTTATCTCTCTCGTTTTTTACAACATGTTGTTGCTGTCAATTAATTTGAAGTCGATGTCATTCATGATAAAGAGAATACCATTCTAGATGTTTGTTGTGAAATCATTTTTGTCAAACAAATTTTAGTTAATTAGGTATATTTAACGTTATTTGTGACAAACTTTTTTTTATTTAATATTATTTTTGTATAGGCCAATTAATCATTGGATGTTTACTAAAATATCTCTTAAAAGCTACTTTAACATAACCAAAAGTGTTTGATTTTTTTCTTTTCTGAAATATACTAAATACAACAAACGTTTCATTCTTAAAACATTACTATCTGTATCTTACAAATCTTGATTTAGTATAAACCATTCTTTATAATTTTATTTTAATATATTATGAATAAAAGGCTTAATTCCTTCCCGAATATTTATCTAATATTATTTTCACTTAGCCAATAGTTTTAATATTTGTTATGAATATAATGGTATTAAACATTAAGAACAAAAATCTTATTCAAAACTGATATTTGTGAAAAAATGGCAAAGTTGAATAAGAAAAAAGTCCTACAACCTAATTTTCTTAAAATTTTGAGATAAAAATAGTATCATAATCATACTATAAATTTATTCATCATTTATTAATATGAAATCTATTCAGAGATTTTTCTCGTGACTAAGGAGTGACATAAAATACTAAAATCCATAAAATATTAAGTAAAAGTTGATTAAACAGTTTTAATATTTACATTTATACTATAAATAAATAATAACATTTACATTAAATATAGTTTATTATATTGTAATACTTTTGATCTATAAAAACATACAAGTATAGATATATTATTCTCCAATTTTTTTCCATTAACAATTAGTCCCTCGCAAAGTCTCCATTTCAATTTCAGCCGACTCATTAATTCATAATAAGCTCATGTATATCATAAATTATTATAAAGTTCAAAATGAATATCTACCATTATAATTAAATCAATGCAATGTTGATTTCTATAGTTAATACTGTTTAATAAACCTACAATTAATCCAATGATTAAAAACAATGCTAATGTAGAAAAAAACTAACATGGTTATATCCCAACTTCTATCTATTAACAAAACCTATAGTTAAAATATAACTACCCGAATTTAAATATCGGTATTAGATGTATCCTACTACAACATGTGATAACAAGATTGATTATATTGTTTCTCGTATGATAAAAAAGAATATAAATTAGGAGAGGTCAAATTCTTTATAGTTTTAGCATATTAGTTTTTGACTTTTAATTGAAAAACTAATACCAACTACACCAATGCACTTGCAGACGAATTATAGGATGAAATTCGAATATTTTGTTCACTATCCAAATAATCCAACATTCCTAGTATGGTGGTAAAAGAAAAAAAAACATTTGTTTTAATCAACATCAGCGTGACACTTGGCAAAATTTGCTTAAAAAGTCATTCTGTTGTGCAAGAATAAGGACCACGATTTTACATCATAATCTAAATTATATTTTTCATCTCTTTATTTTTTTAAAATTCATAATTTAAACTATTTACTTCATTAAAATAAATATATTTAATTTATTAAAACTTGTGGATTTAGTTTAACTATTCTATCCAAGACATTAGTTAGTATATATTAATGTTAACTTTCACATAAAACATTTTAATTGCCATTGTATTGAAAAGACTATTAGAATTGTGTATCTATTTGACTTGTATATAATCCTACCAACTATTTATATTTTACAATAATTCAACAAAATTAGTTGAGAACCACCGCTAAACTTTACTAGTGAATTTATATTAGAGTTTTTAGAGATCATATTGCTATAACAGAAATTAAGGAAAGAGAAATAAAATGAATTTTTTTAATTCTGATGGACTTACTTACATTTTAAGTATTTTATAAATTTATATATTTTAAATTGGGTTTCGGAGTTTTCGTTAAAAAAAATTATTTAAACAAGTTATGAAGATGAGTAATTGATTATAATATCACTAAGGAGGATTTGAAAAAAAAAAACAACAACAATGATACACGAATAAAGGAGATTTAACTTACATAAAATATTAATTCTAAAACTTTTAAAGTCACAGGTTATTTTTCTTTTTTACTGCTTTAAACTTATATATTTTTAAAAAAAATTAAAAATAAATTAAAAATTATAGAAAAGTAATGATTTTGTAATCTCATTAATAACAAAATTAAATGAAAAAATATATTTGTATCGTTATATAGAATTATTTTGAACAATACTTAAAATTATGTATAAGTTATTTTTAAATAATTAAGTATTGGAAAAAAAAATAGAAGATGAAACGGATGAGATGACGTGATATGTATGTACATGACATGCTTCTTGAATTATCCAATCTAATCCTCCCACCTTCCTTTTTTTTTCAAATGAAAATCCAATCACTAAGGATATCAAAGCACAATATTATTATTTTTTAAAACTTTATTTTATTCATATCCCTTTGAGTTTTTTTTAAGAAAATATATATATATATATATGTGTGTGTGTGTCAAAACGGGTAACTCGGGTCTATCCGATTCAGCCCACCAACGGGTTGACTTACTGATTCATTTAATTATAAGTTTTTTTTAAATAAAAAATTATATTTTTTAATTCAAATCTAAATAAATTTTACTCTAAAATATGTTAAACTCTAAAGATAATTCAAAAATAAAAAAAATATCATACAATGCAAACGTAATCTAAAACTAGTACAAAAGACGAATAAATAAGTTTTTAATATTGATAATTTTTCTATCACTTATCCATTTATAATATTAAAGTATTGAATAGATAAATCTATAATGTTCTTCTCTCTTAAAACATTTTTTTATCTTTATCTATAATATAATAAAAAGATACTATCTATTGAAATAAAATAATAAATAATTAAATTAAATTAACTTGATAAACCAACGAGTTCAATCGGAATGGATTGATGTTTATTGGTTAAACTTTTGTGGAAGAGTAAAATATTTTGATGAAGTAAAAGTACTGGTAATGAAACAAGTGAAGTTTTTCTCCTTGAAGATCTCATTGATAAATGCTTTGTTAAAAGAAAAAGATTCTAATGTTAGTTTAATGTGTACAATTGCATGTGTTGTTGACGGCTTTAGCTTTCTGCGTCACGTGTTATGCCCTTTCACACAAATTAAAATAAACTAAGATCACTTCAGAATTTTTCTTTGCCAATTGCTTTCTGCACTCCATCAAATTTCTTATCAAGTTTTCGTCGAAAGAGGGGTGATTGATTTCTGATCTTTTTTTTTACACAATTATTCATTATGTTTTCAGAAAATAAATTCCAAAAGTGATAGGTCCTAGGAAGAAAATGATAAAGTGCAGAAAGTAATTACCTTTTTCTTTATATAATAAATGTGGGAATTGTGTATTCTATTTTATATAAAAGGATATTCCGAAAAATTTATTTCAATGTTACATGCATTCTGGAAAGTATATTCCAAAATGAATAACCCAGAAGTCTTTTCTACAAGGATAAAATAGACATTTTAAAAACGTGAAGAGGTGCAGAAAGAAATTGATGGGATGTGGAAAGCAATTGCCAATCCATCCCAAAAGTTTTATTTCGATAAAAACGTTCCTTACAAGGTGAAGTTTTGTCTATATGATCTTTTTGTCTAAAAATAATGATTATGTCAAAATCATCTATCGAATAAATATTTTTAAAATAAAATCGTTCAAATTTACTCTTAATTTCAAAGAGAAGGTTAATATATTTTTAGCTTTTGATGTATTTATCTATACTAAGAATGGAATAGAAAGTCAAAATTTTACACCATTTTTATTTTATTTTTATAATATTAAAAATTATAATTATTGGTCCAAGTTAGTTAACAGAATCCATGCAACACCTAGTATATCAAGAGCTGAAACTACGAAAATACCCTTTGGTCGTTGCTTCCTTCTTTTTGTCGTTGGAAGTTGGAACACATGACAGAGTTTGAAAGAAGAAGAAGGAGGAGGAGGAAAACGTGGTTCCTCTTCTTCCTTCAGTATTTCTGTCAAATTCAATTCGTTGGTGAATGGGAACGTTCCGTACCTTAAGAAAGGCCTACGGTGCTCTCAAAGACTCTACCAAGGTTGGCCTAGCCAAGGTCCATAGCGAATACAAGGTTCATATTTTCATATCTCTTTCTAACTTTTCATCGATCTATTTATACATTTTTCTGCAGATTTGATTTCTCAGATTTTCTCTATTTTGATCATGTTCTTTTTTATTTATATAAGGATTTGGATGTTGCTATTGTGAAGGCTACCAGTCATGTAGAATATCCTCCAAAGGAACGTCATGTCAGAAGTGAGTTCTCAGATTTTGTTGAATACTTATATATAAATGAAAATTATGCCTTTTTTTTTCTATTTTCATTGTGAGATTAGTGCCGTCAGGGTTTGAATCATTAATTTTCGATGCATTATGCATGGTTTATTCCATAGATCTTGTTTCTTGCATCGAAAGAAATTATAAATGATATCGGATCAATAATGCCAGAGTGGGATATTTATTAGTTCTGTCTTTGCTCTTCTTTGCAGAGATTTTCTCTGCAACTTCGGCACACCAACCACGGGCAGATGTGGCTTACTGCATACACACATTTGCTAGGAGGCTTGCAAAGACACGGAATTGGATAGTGAGTCCTCTGTGTAACTGTCTGAATGCATTAAAATTGTGTTTGGATAAAATTTGAAAACGTGGTTTTGATAATTTCAATTTACATTTCCGAATTTCATGACACAACATGAAGAAGGAAGGGTTCGAATGGTGCTTTAGAAATAAAAGTACTTAACAAACATCAGAACATATAATAAACAATCAGTGCTCATTTTGTTTTTCTTGTCCGTATATGGTAAAATGTTATTTTTTTTAACAGGATTCATAAAGATGTTATGCTTGATTTCTGCATGAAAATAACAAACATTAGCATATGTAAGAAAAAAGGGAAATGGGAACTGTATAATTGTCATGAATCAACCATTCTAAAAGCTTAAGTTGTTCAGTGAAAACAAGTGAGAGGGAATTAATGTAATTTGCGTACAATTATACTCCATGACGATAATTTTTCCAAACTTTCTTGACATTGTTTTTAACTGAATAACGACATGTCACATGATAGGTTGCTGTAAAGACATTGATAGTCATTCATAGAATATTAAGAGAGGGTGATCCTACTTTCAAAGAAGACCTCATAAACTATGCGCGTAGGGGACGTTTTCTTCAAATATCCAATTTCAAAGATGACTCAAGTCCTCAAGGTATAGATTAGTGAGACCCTCTTGTTATCTGAATTTTCTTTCATTTCATGCTTATTAACTGTATTTCTCAACGCAGCTTGGGATTGTTCTGCATGGGTTCGAACCTATGCACTATTTTTAGAAGAAAGGCTTGAATGTTTTAGAATCCTTAAATATGACATCGAGGCTGAGCGTTTATCAAAACCATCACCCGTTATAACTAAGGTGGTGCTTTGCCTTTCAATTTTATTCACACATTAATTGTTCCATGCGGCTTTCATTACTGCGTTTAGAAAATTATAACTTTTAGCTTTGACAGGGACATAGCAGAACACGGTCGTTGTCTAAAGAAGGGCTATTGGAGCAGCTGCCTGCACTGCAGCAACTTCTATACCGCCTAGTTGGTTGTCAGGTAAGAATTTGTGGAGAAAACTGTGATTTGGTATCTTCATGCTTTGTATCTGTTATGCTATATCTCTTGCCACTGAAATGACTGCATTTTATTTCCCTTAGATAATAACATTTAGTTTTCTTTAATTTCCTGCAGCCTGAAGGTTTGGCTATCAGCAGTTACCTAATACAATATGCACTGGCCTTGGTATGCTTGTTTAATTTGTACTTTTCACACAATAACACTTTTAAGTATTATCTGATATGTTTTGTATCAATTGTATAACTGAATAGAATTAGTCGAACATATTTTATTCAGTTGGAGTACTAATATGACAGTTTAAAGATCATGAATTAAGACCTTGATTATAAGAATAAACAAATATCTTTTCTATCTTATAAATATATATTTTTGATAAACAACTAAATAAAATATTATTTAAAGCTTGGGTCTTATAAGATGGTTGCATTGAAGTAAAAGTTGCAAAAAGATAGTAATGTGATACGGTGAAACCAAAAAAAAAAATTATTAAAATCTCAAAATGATCCTTACAATAGATATGACTTCAGGTGCTAGAGAGCTCAATTGCTGCAATACTCATGGATTGATTTCCTATAATACAAAATTGTTTATGCTTGATTCATCCGTATCTCCTGTTTCACTTTCATTAAAAAGAATTACTTATTTAAAATAAGCTCTCATTTCAGACAGAAGCGAGAAATTTCTATTCGTAAACAATCAAGGTTAACATTATTATGACAAATAATGGATTGTCAAAATCTACTGTTAATTTTTCTTTTGTTAACAGTTGGCGTGTTTCACTCTCTTTTTTTCCCCAAGTTAAATAATTAATTTCAGAGGAATCCAATCCTAACACAGAAAAGGAAACACTAACTTTCTTCCCTTCCAGAAATCCATTCACTGAGAGGGATAATGGTCTAACTTTACTTTTCCGCTTCTGAAAATATCTCAGGTATTGAAAGAGAGCTTCAAAATATATTGTGCCCTGAATGATGGAATCATAAATCTTGTGGATGTGGTAACGTCTATTTCAGTTTAACATGTTATTTCAGTTTAACTCTTAAATGTGGAACTGTACTAAGTAATGAAAATTTCAGTTCTTTGATATGCCAAAGTATGATGCAATCAAGGCGTTACACGTTTATAAAAGGGCTAGCCAACAGGTGTACAATAGTGCTTTGCTTTCCTTCAGATCCATTCTTTGTTGTTGAATTTGAATTCTTTCTTGTCCTCAATGAGGCCTCCTAATGGGTCATACGAGTTGAATTGATGATCATTCTATAATGTGCAGGCTGATAATCTTGCCGAGTTCTATGAATACTGCAAGAGATTGGACCTTGCTAGGAATTTTCAATTTCCAATCTTGAGACAGGTTCTTGCTCATTAATAACAATATTTAATTTGATATCGTATACAGTTTCTCACTGAGATATTTCCCCCAATAAACAGCCACCTGCTTCTTTTCTTGCCACGATGGAAGAATACGTTAAAGAAGCACCCTTGAATGCATCTAATAGACTGGTAAGAAAGAGTGATATGCAAATTTATTCGAGAAAGCCTGCGCCTTATATGCGGTTTGTTTATGTTCCACGAACCAATATGCTTGACTTTCTAAACTAATAAAGGACTTATTACATGCAATATGGCAAATGAAGTTCAAGCCACTTCGTCAGAGAGTGGAAGAGCCTAATGACTTTTAGAACGAGCCAAAGATTTCCCAGACCAGTCTGATGTGTAGAACTTTTATTTTATTGTGCGTATAATAAAGTTAAGGGCCAATACCTCTAAAACAACTTAGCAGTTGATATAATAGCTGTAAGTAGGGATGGCAAAAAAATCCGCGCCCGCGGATATCCGCGGATAAAATCCGCGACGGATAGTTGGTACCCGCGGATATTTACTATCCGCGGGTTGCGGGTAGCGGGTTTTTTAATACCCGCTTATAAACGGGTCGGGTGCGGGTATTATACTATCCGTATCCACGGATATCCGTTACCCGCAAAAAATAAAAATAAAAATTTAATTTATATTTTATTAAGTTAAATTTAATTAAAATTAACATTAATTTATATTTTATAAAGTTAAATATAATTAAAATTAAATTTTAATTTATATTTAATATAATATATATTATATTTTATATATTTTTTGTAATTTTATTTAAATTTTATTATAATATTTTATAAAAATATATTTTTTTAAATATTTATGGGATATCCACGGGTATCCACGGATATCCGCGGGTTTTAAAATATCCGCGGATATTTTTTAAGCGGATATCCGTGCGGGTAGCGGGTCGGGTAGCGGGTGGATTTTTTTTTGTCGGGTCGGGTTGCGGGTAGGCACTATCCGTGCCCGACCCGATCCGTTGCCATCCCTAGCTGTAAGACTCGCTTATATATTTTGCATTGGGTTCTGGAGTCAATTTTGGCACCCCGATTGATATGGAGAATTGGAGATTGACTACGATAACTTCATTTCATTATTAGATATAACTCAACAACTTTGCATCTATGTTCTGGTTCTAGTTATGGCATATTTGGACTGAAGTTTCTGCCTTTATTGTTAATGGTATCCGGGGGAAATCACCGTAATGGGAAAAAGGGTTATTTTTCTTAAAAGTGGTTCAATGTCAATTGTTATTAAACATCTGTGTACGCCCACAACATATTTGTTTGTCATGGTTCGTTAATAAATGTCATGCAACATCAGGAGTATCACGAAAATGGTCAATCACCTAAAAAGGAAGCAGAACCTAAAGAATCTGAAGAGACTCAAGCAACCGAAAAACCCGATGAAGAAAACAAAGAGGAGGAACAGGTGCATGAGGACGAACCAGAGCCTAAGGAGGAGGAAGTGGAACTTCCTCCTTTGATATCAACTGATTCTACTGATGATTTGCTGGTGTGTTTTTGGTTATGTGGATCGTATGAATGTTTGAGAGATTGTTTTGACGGAAAATATATAATATATTTGTCACCTTTGCAGGGTCTAAACGAAATAAATCCAAAAGCCCGGGAACTAGAAGAAAGCAATGCTTTGGCGCTAGCAATTGTACCAGCCGGAGGTAAGAGTAATTGATAATTAACGAAGTTAACTCTATCGTGCATGCATAAGAATGGAGGTTGGAATTTGCTTCACTAAACAAAGAATCAGAATTTATATATATATATACACACACACACATACACACATGCAATGCTTGTTAGATTTTGAAAATAGAAACGAGAATGTATGACTAGTCCGTAGGGAAATCCAAAACTAATGAGGAAAAAACTTGTCGAACCAGAGACTTTTCTTTTGGTTTACTCCACAAACTAATTGGAGAAATGGGAGATAATCTCATCTAAACCCATAGGGAATAACTGTGCCATTGCCATTCCTTGCTCACGTAGTCATTCAGGTACATCATTACCAGGACTTAATCTAAACAAACTTGTATTAATAAAAAAAACCACAATCGGGTCCATCTTTGATCGATTCAATTCTAAGACTCTGCGATTTTATGTAGGAAATAACTCAAGCAGTCTTGATTTGGCTTACACAAATGGAACTTCTGGTTGGGAACTTGCACTGGTTACAACACCAAGTAACCATACAAGCCAAGCGCCAGATCGAAAAATGGTCAGTTTTTACCTGTTTGTCATACTTAGTAGATCATGTAAATACGAGACATGCCAATCAATATATGAACATGTTACATGCACACGATATAACCAATGCGGCCCAAAACGATTATTGTGACATTCATCTCACATATTTGGCTATAGGTACAATTTCACACACGCTAAATGACGCTATGGTTTGTCCTTTGAATCTAAAAGCTAACAATACTATTGTTCTTTTCTCCCTCGTTTGTTGAGTCAGGCTGGTGGGTTTGACAAGCTATTACTAGACAGTTTGTATGAAGATGAAAAGGCTAGGAGACAACTTCAACTCCGAAATGCAGGCTATGGATATGGGGAAATGGATACACATAATCCATTCAATCATCATAATCAGCAAGATCCATTTGCGGTGTCCAACAACATAGCACCTCCAACCAATGTGCAAATGGCATTCATGGCTCAGCGACAGCAACAACAACTGATGTTCCAGCAACATCAACAACATAATATGATGATGGGCCATTACCAGTATCCACAGACTCAATACCATCAACAAATGCCAGTCATGGGTTCTTCTAATCCATTTGAGGACCCCTTACCCGTGCCCACCCATGCTTATAATTCCATGAATCATCAAGGGAACTACAATTTAATATAGAGTTCAGCTTCTCTTCTACTTAATCCTCTTTTTTCTCTCCTCAATCCTTTGACCAAAAAGGATTTATTCTTTGTTAAGTAGAATAACACTAACTTTCTTGATCAAAATTTCATTCATCAATGGTCCATTTTCCGTAGGCCATTCTAGGGGTACACCCTTTCAAGTTGAAACAAATGGTGCATTTTAAAATTAAAGTTGCCCAGAGCGGTAGTCCAAAGTTTGGAGCTGGGTAATCTAGGCAGAAAACACGCCTCATTGATTATTATTCAACTGAGAAATCAAGACAGTAAACACATGTAATTGACTACTATTATTCCAAGTTTAATGATTCATTTATCTTTCTTATCAGAACAATCTGGAAAACTGAAGTCAACGTGACTGTATTGTACTTGCAGTTCAGAGCCCATTCAGAGAACTTTATAACCAGGGTCATAGATGCTCTAGGAAGAATTAATCTCACAAAAAGGATATAACCCGCAATATAACTCAAAATCGTGTATAACTAGCAATGTATATTTACCCATGTATGCCCGTAGTCAGGTTTATTGTGTTCACTGTGCCCCTTGAAAATGTCAACTAACTGAAGAAATATAAATGACATTACATGAATTGTGAATTTGACCAGAACCAGAACTGGTTTTCACTTTGTAAGTCATGTACCGCAAACCAAACTAGACAAATGACAAGTGATCAGGTTAATATGAGTAGATTAAAAACTAAAATCGAACTGATGAATTAGAAAATTAATCTTATTCTATCTCTTTCCTCTCAGCAAGCGTGATCTATGTCTTATTCAGCATTAATAATTTAGGATCCTGCACGGATGTATGTCTTTGAATATTTCAAGTGAGTTTTCAGTTTAGATTTCACACTACACTCTTTCCACAATATCAAATGACTCTCGAGTCAAATAGAAGAACGGTTGACCGATATGTATCAATTAATTTAAAATGTCTTCTGAATGTAATTCGCAAATCTGAAGACTCATCGCGGTAAGTTCATACCTAAATTAAAACTGTATGTATCTCTTTTCAATTACAATAATGTTCTTTGCACATCAAACTTTATGACAGAGAGAGAAGAGAGTCCCAACTTTTCCAACTATAACACGAGAGCATCCAAATCCTAAATCATATTAGAGGAATTGACACAGTCACCAGAGAGGCTGGCAAAACTAGAAAAATTTATAAGTCTTACCGATCCATCCCAAGTCTACTAGGACATTTTTTAACATTCAAAATTCTAGCACTTTTTTTTAATAGTTAGAATTGAATAGATCTATGAATAATCTCTTTCTTTTCTTGACATAAACATCCATCGACCCTTTTTATTAAAAGAAGGATTTCACGTACATTAGCGACAAAAGGCAAGTTCGCTTCTACAATGGAACGCTCTTCAGCCTTTCAATGGGAAATAAGGCTTCAATTATAGAACTCAATAGAAACTACGCAATTCTGTAGTAATAATCAAGCAACTAGAGATAGTGCAAAACTTTTACCCCCTTATAAAGTCTACTGCAGTTATTTTATCTACACGAATACTCATATTCATTATTCAGAGGAATGGTCAAAGAAGCTTTTGCTTTATTAGTTACACAAATACATACATAATCCAATGTAAAATATTCAACATGACACCATTGAAAAGAAAAATCTACAGAAACCGATTGCTTAGTGCTTGGTCAGGACCCAAACTATATACAAATAACAGAGACCAAAAAACGTGAGAAGAGTTAATACCAAAGCAACCGGTAGTACTTCACCTGTTAAAGAATTCCCATTTTCATGAACTGTCTTCTATGCAACCAAGCTCCGTGATCTTCAAACAGATTACTTTTTTTGCACCCCGACCCTCTCATCGAACAAAGGTTGCAACCCTGAAAACTATTCACTATTTGGTCTCAGCGGAATATCAAACAAGTCCAATCCAAAAGACATTTCTGTTGCATAACAGCAGTTGAAACTGCGTAACAACACTTGAATTGTTGAAAGCGGACACAAACACGCATGCATTACTATTAATATTGCTTACCATCATGATCATCCTTCCTCATCTTCCGAGAGGGCCACGTTTTCAGTGGGCGCCATAACCTTAAGTTGCACAGTAAGTTCCGTCCCTCGTGGGGTGGCAACAGCTGTTGAGAGAGAAAAACAAATAGAGCATACGATGAATTCCGTGTCAAGACCACAGTTACCCTATACAATCAATCTAGTCAATCATAATATCAAAAGTTACTATTTTTACAAGTTTGTGATAATAGCATTCCCAGAATCTTCATCTAACATTGAAGGAATTGAGAAAAAGAGTGAGTGGAAAAAAAGAGAACCTTGAAGTAAGAAGGGTTGAGTGGGAATGGAGAATTTGGGGAGAAAAGGGGAGGGAGGAGGAGGGACCCAGAAGGAGGAACCGGGAAGGAAGGGAAGCCAATCGGGTGTGGCCTTCATGACCATAACACGGTGGGCATGGTCCTCCAGCAACTTCACCCCTTCAATCTCCACCCACTTCGATTTCATGGCTTCCGAAGATCGGTGGCGGTGGCACACAATCAGGACCTTGGGGGATTGGGAATGACGAAGCAGCGTCTTGGACTTGGAGATGAACCTGGCCATCATATCAATTCCTATCGGACAAAACCAGATGCGCTCCTCCTTTTCAACGCACCTAACAATACCATTATATTAATTCTTTTTCTGTCTAAATATTATCGATTTCAAGTTAGTATATTCTTTTTAGGCTTAAATAATTATTTGTTTCGTATATTTAATTTAATAATAAATTTTTTAATTTGGTTTCAATTTTTATCAACTTTATTTAATTTAATTTTAATTTTTTAATAATAAATTAACTAAAAATAAAAGATAAATATAAAATAAAGATAGTGAAAATAGGACTCAAGAAATACTAAATTTGTTAATGATTTGCAAACACAAAATATTATTCAAGAAGACTCCTTTGAGCAATAAATCTAGGAGGTTTCTCCATGTAAATCTTTTTTTACAAGTCGTGGTTAAGGAATGCATTATTGACATCTAGTAGATAAAGAGTAGTAGATAAAGAGGTTATTGTTGAAGAGTTATCACGACTATTAATAAACTAACAAATCTCATCTTTATCACAAGAGAAAAAACATATATGAATGGATCAAATCCAATGTTGATAAAAGGGAGGTCAAAAAAGACAAAAAGAAGTCATGGATGAACACGAGAGATAAACTAAAAAAATTCATCTTTGTCATTGAATAAAAAGCATATACGGGTCAAACACAATTGTGACAAAAGATATGTCAAAAGAGACAACAACAAAAGAAGCCTTGAATGAACAGAAGAGATAACCCTTAAAAATCCAATATTCTCTAATCAAGGCACCTGAAAAATGAAAAAGAACAAAATCGATACTCTTAATAGTTATCTAAGAGGAGACGAAAAGAACTGAAAGAGGAAATAGAGTGACCTCGTCGCTCTGAATTGCTACGGGACGTGTCATCATGCACGACGGAAAAGGGAGTAGATCAACAACTTCAAAAGACGCTAAAAAACGCGTAAAAGCTCCGATGAAGGCGTCGTTGAGGGTATGGTGGTCGCCTAGCCAAGACGATCAAAATCGTATGATCGTAAGTCGAAATTGGAACTACGACAGTGGTAGTGGTAGACAACAAGCAACAGTGGTAGATGGCGTCACTGCTGGCAGCGACAAGTGTAGTGAAAGAAGTTTTGGATGAATAGAAGAAAGAAACCTTTAAAAATCAATATTCTCCAATCAAAAAACTTGAAAAAGGAAAAATAGCAACATTGATGTTCTAAGTAACTGTCTAAGAGGAAACGTGACATGCGACAACACACAAATAACTTGAAAGGGAAAAAGATCAATCTCGACGCTCTGAATCGCTGCAAGACGTGCCCCATGCATGACGGGAAAATGAACAGATTCACAATTTCAAAAAGTACTAAAAGCGCGTAAAACCTCCGATAAAGGCGTCGTGATGACACAATAGTCTAATCAAAACTATAAAATCGTGTGATCGTCACTTGAAATTGAAACTCTGAGAGTAGTATCGATAGACGACGACAATAGACGAATATGATTTATTTTTATTTAATTTAATTGTTTATTTTTTAAAAATAAAACATTTATTTTTTTTCAAATTGAGACTAAAATATAAAATTTGGTATGAGAGAGATAAAATTATTCAATTTAAGTTAAGCAAAAATAGTAATATAGAGATCAAATTAAATAATATTTATTATACACACTATCACGTAATACTAATCTAATTTTTAAAATTAAAAAAAATAACAATAAAATAAATCATCAACTCACACATGATAGATAATATTCACTTAACTATTTAAACAACATTAACCAAAAAACGAATTAAATTAAAAAAAATGAAGATAACTTTAAGTGAATTCAACACAAAAATATTAAAACTAAATTGAATAAATTTAACTAAAATGAAATTAGTATTTAAGCTATTTTTTATTACATTAATCAGTCATATAATTAAATAATTTTTTCTATACGATACTATTCATAATTTGTTTAGTATAATAATAAAAAGGTTTAATATATTATTTGGTCCCTACTTTTAGGGATTTGGTTCAAAGTGATCATACCTTTTAAAAAAGAAAAAGTTCAGAAAGGCCTAATGTTTTGTTAAAAAATGTTCAATCTGGAGAAGAGTGGTGATTCGCGATCTGTAGCAGCGGCGTATGGTGGACGATTCTGTGGTGGAGATTGAACGGCAGTGCTGCTGGCGCGATGGTGATTTAGCTGGTGTGAGGGTGAAATTGGTGAAGATTGGTGGTCGCGGCATAGCAAGGGATCGCGTTGGGTGGTGGCGCGAGAACTAAGGTAAGATGCGAAGGTGATTAAGGTGCAACAGAAGGGAGAAGGTGGTGGCGCGTGATGCGTTGGAGAGGACGGCTGCCGGCGAGGATGGCGGTGACGGTGCGGCGACTAGGGTTTATTGGAGAGAAATTAGGGTTTGTCTGGAGATGGTGATGATGACGTGTTAGGGTGGTAATGTGGCAGAAACTTTTTTAAACTTTTTTTAAATTAAAAAATCATTTAAGTCCACCTATTAACGTCTTTGCGTGTCACGTGCTTATGAGATGCCACAGTGGTATTTGCACCGTCCGGATTGATCACTTTTTAACGAAATATGGGATTTTACTAAATTTTTTAAAAATGTATGATTACTTTAAACCAAACCCCTAAAAATAGGAACCAAATAATGTATTAAACATAATAAAAATGTATGGATCTTCGTAGCATAATTACATAATTACAGATTTCATGAGTTTTCTTAAGATTTTACTTAAGTATGTTAAGGTTGTTGTTATATCAACACCAGACAACCCCTGACGTGGAAGTTGAGTGAAAAAATAACAGAGAATCAATTCCAAAAAATTAGAGAAAATTTGAGGAAAAATATTTAAAGAGATTATGTTATTTCAAAATAAATAAATAAATATTTAAAATATACATTATATATTTAACATAAAATAAACTTTTAATCTTTATTTGTTTTGAAAATATCTTTACTAAACTAAAATTGAGTTTCATATATAATTATTCATTATTTTGTATAGTTAAAATTTATGACAATTTGAAAATGATAAAATATTAAAATATAAATGTTTTGTAAAAATTAGAAAAAATGGAGTATTGAAAATAATATCAAATTTGTAGAAAATAGTACGAATTAATATGAATGGGAAAAAGTAAATGGTTAAAAAAAGTGAAGAAGATATCTTGAAATTAAAAGAAAAACAAATAAAAGAGAAACGATTTTAAAAAATGTAAACAAAAGTTTAACATAAATTCGAAGGTGAAAAATATGATTAATTTTAAAAGGCCAGAAAAATTGTAAACTCTTTCTATATGGTAATGTCCTTTTTCAAATAATAAATATATCAAAGTATAGTATTATGTAAAAAACAGAAAAAAAAAGTGGAGAAATAAAAATAAAAGTGAAAGTTAAAATATGATTATAAATGTGAAAAGTTTGAAATTTATTCAAAAAGTTTCAAATTTATGGACAAAAGCTTGATGTTTTAAAAAAATATAAACACAAAACGTGCCTAACTAATGCCAATAAAATATGAAAAAGCTGCAGTGTAGAAGTTTAAAAACTAAGAATGACGATGATTATAAAGAAAAATAAACAAAAGGGAAAATACAGTGAAATATAAATGATGAAGACATTTTGTATTATAACATAATTTTTAAAAACAGTGAAATTATTAAAACATAGGTATTTGGTAAAGATTTTTAAAATAGAGAAGTTAAAATCTCCTTGATACCTACACACTGCACTTTTGTTTTACACCCATTAAAGAACCTATAATTTTATTATTTTAATAACTTTTTACATGGTTAATTACAAATTTATTTTTTATTTTTTTTCATTTGTTGAAACAATCACGTATATAACTTCTAGGGTTGTCAACATATATTTTTTCAAATATAAAATATAAAATCATTCCAGAATTTAAATATGATTGAATACATGTTTTATTCATTTTATATATTAAAATTTTGAGGGTATCCAGACTTGACCACAATTTAGTTTGGAACTGCTTTTGCAACGGTGCAGTAAAATGCAAACCAAGGTATGCCATGCAACGAAGCAAAATTATAATGATAAACAGGAACGAAACACCTTACTTTATTTGATGGTAACTGCAATATTGGTATTTACAAGTCCATCACTGCAAATCTATGGTATTCGTGAGGTATATATAGAAGTGAAGCAGAAGAATCTCATTTACTTAATTGCCACTAAAAAATTATAATTACAATATACATAAATATATACACACACAGAACAGGTGAATGTAAGATTGGGCTCATATCTCAGACAAAAGATTGCTGATTTTACGTAGCTCCTTCAGAGCTGACATGGGAGTAACCTGCTCTTCACCCAACACAACATTTTCAGACATGTTATCCAATGGTGCTCCCTCTCCCCACTGTTGGAAAGCTTTCTCTATCACCTGCCACACAAAACTCATGTAAATAAAACTGTTTCTTTCAGTTCAGATTCAAAGCTAAACTACAAGATATTACTTCTTATTTTGGTGCATCGGAAAAGGTGATTCTCTGTTGACAATTACTATAACTGTTTTATAGAATCTAGACTTAAACCAGTCTTTAGATTGTAAGTTTTCACTCACTAACTAACTTATTTTGATTGTGACAATGAGAAATAAGTATACCTGGATATGCTCAAGCATTGACTGCCCAAGATTCCTCATAGTGTCCGTCATATTCTGCTCTGTAGATTTTCCTTTGTAACCAAGAGGACTACAATGCGTATTGGCTGTAGAAGAGGGTACTGTATTGCTTTGATCATCACAACTGTTGGCAGGTTTTACTGCCTCAGAAGCATCACTTCCTTTCTCTAAAGTAAACTCACCATTATTCCGTCCAAGCTTCCATAGCCACTGAAATTTGTTCAATTTTCTCTCCTTGGAATGGGCGGTTGAATTTCCAGCAGAGATATTATTATCTCTTCCTGTTGTGTTTGATACGTTCTCAGGATGATCAGGGATTGGAAGACGTGAATCAAAGGGACTACTAAGTGAGGCTTCACTAGTTCCATCAAGGGATAAATTAGATCCAACACTACTCTTCTCACAGTCATTTTTGAGATCATTAGCC